ACTATATCGGAAAAATCTCCAGAAGTGACGAGGTCATTGCACATGAAGTAAGCATTCCCTGTCTAAGGACACTATATGACAAGGAACATGGAGTATTGTAACATTGCCAGAATGTGATCAGGACTAAAAAATGAAATAAAATACCACTGTAACATTTCTTAAAATTGTGTCTCAAAATATACCAGATTGCATCTCAGCACGAGTTCATTTCAAAGAATTTACGGGGGGGCATGCCCCCTGACCCCCCTAGAAAGCTCGTGGCTGAAGGACTGCTCCCCAAACGGTCAATCCTAAATAGAGCCCTGATTCAGTAGTAAAGATTTAGTCATCAAACTCATTTCGAGATTGTTTTAAACAGGCTGTGCTGTGTGTTGAACGTGCGAAGTTGTTGTTTTGCTAATTAAACCTATTGTTTTTTTGACGTTCTAGTTGTCGTCCACGTCGTTGGATCTTAACCTCCCTAAATTGTACAAACGACCGGTTTCAATAGACCGGCGAAATTTCTCATTTTGTTAAGGCACTGACGTTGCGACAACTTCGAGTTAAAATGATTTCACGGGTTGTCAAAGAGTCCAGCGATTCCTTTTTCCCAGGTGAGCGCCGACTCATTTCGCTTGAATATTCAGGAATGCTCTCGATCTTTTCACGCTTTCATTGCCTCTCGCCCGACATGTTTTGCACGGCGTTTGGTCATGCGAAACCTCCACGAAACATCCACGCCTCGCGCGAGGTAACTTTATCCCGATTCTAAAAATAACTCGAGACGAATTACCTATGGAATAGGTTGTATATGGGGGATGCCCTCTCTGTCCCCTTTATAGTCTCTTGTTATGAGACAACACTAACTGGCCACGGGAGAGTTGTTGCTGGGGCTGTAATGATGCTCTTGGGACAAAGCCGGGGAGGTGCCCAAGGCCGATAGACCTCTATCCCCCAAACAACAGATGACCATTGGTTGCTGACCATGGTGAAGGTAACATGGGCAGGGCAGCTTGAGGAGTAGGAAAGATAACAAGATACGCCTATTCAAGACTTTAGTTCGACCAGTCCTGCTAAATGGGTGTGAAACTTGGAAGATCACCAAGACCATTGAACAGAAGCTAAATAGTTTCCAGTGCCGGTGTCTGAGATAGATACTTCGAATTGGATGGCAGCAGAGAATGACAAACAATATAGTCGCCTGTTAGTTCACAGACCCTTCAAAGTCCGTCGGGCACGCGTGATAAAAAATAAAAACTGCGTGGGATTTATTGACCGCCAGCGCAAGGGGATCAGTGCTCGCCGATGTTTTCGAAAAGAACCAAAAGAAAAATAAACAAAGTTTGTGTACAGGCTAAAAAAAATAGTGGCTGAGATGGCAATGACTAAAGATAAGAAGGTGCAACTGGACAGAACACATACCAAAGGGAGAGGAAGTGAACGACTGTTTTACTGCATTAGAGTGGACCCCAGAAGGTCGGAGGAGGGGGCGGGGGGGCGGGGGGCGTGAAGAGCGAAAAAAGGCGAGGTGGAAGGGCTGGGAAGTAGCCAAAGCGGTGGAACGGGGCAGAAAGTGTTGATCAGAAAGCGTGATGGCCTTATGCGCCTACTGGCACGACGAGACTTCATGATGATGATGATGACGGTTCTGGACTCTTTGGTAATTTGGGCTTATAAATCTTCGTGAGTAGATTTAGGAGGGCTTATAAACGGGGGAGGGGGGGGGGGATAGCTTATATCCGAGGGGGCTGATAAACGCTTCCAAACAAGCTATAGCAGTGTTGATTAAAAAACGTTTTGCATTTACTGGTTTTAAACGGAGGTAAACGTTTTACGCAAGGGCACACGATGAATAGGCAGTTTCCCCAAGGGAAGATAAACAAAAAGCAAAAACAAATACAATTAGATGGGATGTTTGTTCCCCTTAGGCTGAATTCAATCCCTCCCCTTACTCAGTTCACTTAGATTATTTTAACCAGGTATAAGGGTGATAATTTAGCAATTAATGAATGAGGCTGAGTAGGATATGAAGAATTAAGCAGATCGAGGAGGGTGTTATCCACCTACGCCTTCGGCCTCGGTGGATAACACCCTCCGAGATCTGCTTAATTCTTCATATCCTACGAAAGCCGAATTCATTAATTGCTTTATTATTCATTCAAAATAATTCCTAGTTTAAAAACATAGCTTAAACATGCTTACCTCCATCAATGTTAAGTTCATCTTCGATAGTGCACGTTTAGGTTTATTCAGCTCCGCAAATATTCTCCAAAAAGCAAATGTCGCCCTTCGAGTTGTCTTCTTGCTGTTCTTGCCATGTTTTAACTATTATTTCGCCTAGGTCTTACTCTTGAAACGAGTAAAATATGTGTCGTTTTTGTTTTCACATCCATAACCACTCAACCTCATCCCCAGGTCTTCTCGGTTAACAGTGCATTAACCTGCAAGAAAGCTACACTTTTGACGTCATCGGTTCATTAACTGCAAATTCTTCCAAATTTGGTCATCAGTAGCTGGTTATGGTGAATTATGCGTGTGCTTTTGGCCAATCATAATCGGGGAAATAATTTGAATGAATAATAATTAACAGTTAATGAATGAGGCTGAGTATCTTATGAAGAATTATGGAGATCGAGGAGGCTGTTATCCGTCGAGGCCGGATAACACCCTCCGACATCTCCATAATTCTTCATATGATACGAAAGCCGAATTCAAAAATTGTTTTATTATTCATTCAAAATAATTCCTAGTTTAAAAACATAGCTTAAACATGCTTACCTCCGTCGATGTTAAGTTCATCTTCGATAGTGCACGTTTAGGGTTATTCAGCTCCGCAAATATTCTCCAAGTAGCAAATGTCGCCCTTCGAGTTGTCTTCTTGCTGTTCCTGTCATGTTTTTAACCATGATTTCGCCTAGGTCTTACTCTTGAAACGAGTGAAATGTCCGCCATTTTTGTTTTCACAACCATAACAACTCAACCTCATCCCTAGGTCTTCTCGGTTAACCGTGTATTAACCTGCAAGAAGGCTGCACTTTTGACGTCATCGGTTCATTAAACGCAAATTCTTCCAAATTTGGTCATCAGTAGCTGGTTATGGTGAATTATGCGTACGCTTTTCGCCAATCAGAATCGGGGAAATATTTTGAATGAATAAGAAAGATGATTAAATCCGTCGGTACTCTAATTGGACAATACACCTATGGAATACTTATGAGTTTTGAACAAGCTTTAATACACTCCTGGCGGTTTACCAACCACTTATGGGCGCATGAAAGGTGAAGTTTTTACAACAAAAAACTAACACATGAAAACATTTATAAGTAACTTAAAATATCAGAATATATATCACAATAGTTATTAGTAGAGTGATTTTACTTGAACCGTGAAACAGATAATAACAAAAGGTGCAAAATAGCTACAAATAAACAAAAGACAATAGAATTAGTGCATAATAGTGCGTAGTATTCTACAAATGTAATACCTATTTCACGGGTTAAGTAAAATCACTCTAAAAGGTACACTTAATTACAATCATGGAGAGCTCATCACATAACATAGATCTAAGGTTTTAAGCCCATTACGCTTGACTTAACTCAGTTCTTTTCAGGCGCTAATTTGATTTACAAAAGCTTTTTACAAAATGTTATGTGCACTAAGCTAAGGAGGAATCGGGTTTACCTGGTCGATGTAAGAACCTGTGAACTTCACTTTGTTTCATTCGCACCTTTTGTTTTCCTAGGTTCTATTAATTGTGTTGACTTCTTTGCTTTCGGTTGAATTACATCAGCTGTGAGTTTTACAGTCTCTTACACCGACGATGTGCTCAGGAATCTTCTTACGTCACGTTGCCATGGTAGCAAAATTTCTGGATGACAACAAACCGAAAAACGTCTTTTAAAACTGTTTCAGACTTCATCGAGCTTGGTTACTTTCAATTAATTTGTCAAATGTTGGCTAAATTTTCTAGGGTTAAATCCGAAAGGACCGTATCTCAGTTAAAAAAAAGCAAAAAAAAAAAAAAAAAAAAAAGTGTTGTGTTCACCTAGTTTATAAGCGAACGCGTGAAATTAGGAAGTTTCACGTCGTAGTCGCGCTGCGTCGGCTAAAAAAAGTTCTTGCCTTGCTACCTAAACTTATTGCTTTTTTACAGTTCTCGTTGCCGTCGCCGTCGCCGTCGTCGTTGCTTAAGCTCCCTATTGTTTTGATCCAAAAATTGTGCTACCATGGTAACATGACGTCACACTTCTCCCTTCTATTCTGCAATACCTTTTGTAACACCTATCACAAAATACACTTACGAAGCAATGGGTTAACCAGATTTGGCTTCTTTCCGGTAAGATTATCCTCATGTACGATTTGTCCAAAAAAATGCAACAAAGAGGTCGCTTTCGAGTTAAGTTTTTGTTATCGTGACCTCAAGTTGACTCTATCTTTCGTGCGTTTTCTTTGTTTCTTAGCCTAATTGTCAGACAGTCCAAGGTCGTGCGCTGGGTGTACGAGCGAGCGAACGAGTCGAACCCTCTAAGAATCACCGGCTACGTGATTCTTGCGGAAGTGATGGCAGCCAATTTCATCGACTTCTCGAAATACTAAAAGATACGTTACTAAGCAACTAAACAATGAGGAATAAAACCAGTTGCCACTCGTTCACACTCGCTGTCTTGTATATTTATTTGGATGAGAATCGGGTGAAAATTCTAAGTGCTTCATCTAACTGGGAAGAAATCATGGGACGAACATATAACTACTTCGGTCTAACTATCAAGAGGAAGATTTATTATTTGATCACTTATGGCAAAAAATAAACACATCAACATACGGTAACCAATATATTAACTGACAAATGTTTCACAAATATATATATTAGTAAATCTTACCATAATACTAAAACAATAAACGACTTCTTTAGACAATCTTCTTACACTAAAATCTCCTTCAAGTATTAAAACACAAAAACTCAAAAACTCAAATACAGGAGCTACTTAGTTAGCTGAAGGAAAAAGTTTGTTCTAATTGTCCCAAAAGTCATATCCTATGAACGATTCAAGTTCTTTTTTTAATTCACAGGACATCAGCTGGATTCGCAAACAACTCCTCGGAATAAGCGGGGGCTTCGTTTCGTAGCAAGATAAACAGCAGCAACGTCAAGAAAAATAAACTCTCTGCCTGTCGATCAATGCCTTCATCCACCTTAAACGAAAAATAAAAGGAGAGATGAAAAAGGAAATAAGTCCCAAGTATTTACTAACGTTAATGTTAGGATATATTTTTAGCACTGTTAAATAATAAAAGACTGTCACAACAAACAAGAGTTTCGGCTTCGATAGATCGCAGTTTTAACTGAGAAGGGCCTTTACAGAAGTATTGTACTTCGTGAAAAAAAGAAAAGGTTAACCAGACCAGACAGCAAGCAGCTAACACCTTATAAGAGAAAAGCCTTTATTCAACTGAGAATAGATCAATAGATGATTAAGGAACGGACCACTTGAAAAGTGATTAAGGAGGGGGGGGGGGGGGGGTGGCTGGTGGTGGGGGAAAAAAACAAAATAAAACTGCAAGGGAAATGTCCCCCCAAAAAATACATGCAAAGTAAAACCCAAGGGGTGGGAGGGGATGTACCCTCAGCCTGACCTAGAGAAGAGAAGATAACTTTAGAAACCGATTGAAATCGTTTAAAAAAAAGTATATTAAGATATGTCACTATGCAGCTTATAAACACAGCTGAGTTCTTAGCTCCGACATTCTTGAAGCAGATAATAAAAACTTCAGAGAATTTTTTTGGAATAGATCTACATCAGACGTTTTAGAAGTCGTTCACTAGCAAGTTGCACTGCTTTTCAAGTCTCATTCTCATTAAAAAATTTAGACCTCCAAAAAGGCGTGCGTTCCATGCATTAAACAATCTTTAAACAGAATCTGAGAAGATGGACAAACATGCTTTGTGGATCACGCAACGCCCGCTGGGTTACTGGGTTTCGACCGAGAAATCTACCCATTTTATAAACTGGGCGTACCTAGAAGCCCTTTTGCCCTATACGTGTTGTTTGACTTGTCTTTATCCTCCGCCTGACTCAGTAGCTAACACAGTTCACAGGAGCAAACACGAATGACAGACTGACCTATAAGTGTAAAAATAGCTACTGGAAAAGCCTTACTTGTCTCTCAGCGTGGCTTTGACTGTGACCGTTCCCTGTTGACCATGCACTTCGCGTTCCACTGCAAAGAACAAATTGCTAGTTATTTCATATTTCAAGAAAATCAATGGGCTACCGTATTTACCTTACCCCTTACAGGATTTTTGTCACTACTTTTAGACTGGGGGCTTATTAGAAGTACTAGGGCTCACCTAATTTTTTCTTTTTTGAGGCTACTCATATCAAGTTTTCATTGATAAAATGGATATAAAATTTAGCAATCTCAAACAATGGTGTCTGAATTAGAAGCTAGGGGCAAGGAGGAACGGCGCAATTTCAGTGTCACTTCGAGATCTATGATAGCCGGTGGCAAAAGAAAAATATGCACCGGCAAACTTATTTTTGCGAAATATATCCTAAGCACTGTGCAAACGTTCTGTCAAAGGGGTTTTATTTGAATGGTAACATCAAAGGAGTTGAGTGACAATGTGTTTAAAGCAGTGCGACAAGGTCGACGTCCTAGCATCTCCCAGTAAAATTCTTTGCGCGGGTTCATGATGGTGAAAAAAATATTCAAAATCTTAAAGCTCATAAGTATTTTATCGTTGATTGTTGTAGCTTCTGGAACTTTAGGTGTAACACTTGCATAATTATCCAATTGAAATAAGTTGATCACGATGGAAACGGTTTAGCCTGCGTAGCAAGCGTTTCCGTTTGGTTTCAGAGCAAAGGAAGACTGAGGAACGGGATTTATGGTTTTGACCGCGCGAGAAATGGAGTGTCGTTCCTCGTTCTTTGCTCCAAAACTGCACGGAAACGCTAATGCTACGCAGGCTAGAAACGGGTGAAAGAAGATAACGGCGATGACGATAAACGATCAACTCACTATACGACCAGACGAGGTTCAAGTGTTTCTTCAGTACACTCATGCACGGGCTTTCCGTTCTCTGTACATTGCGATGCTTCCTACATAAAATTAAATATTTAATACTAAATTAATATATATATATATAAATATAATTATTAATATCATACTCTAAGGGATGTGGACTGATTTATTTTATTTAATAATGTTTAATAAATGACTAGGAACTCAGTTGTTTCTAAATTTAAAGACAGGGGCCAATTGAGAGGAACCTGACATTTTACTGATTTAAGAAAGTAATAAAAAACATACCGTTAAATACAAAACCGTTGAGTCGTGACATTTACCTTCGGACATATATAAAGACATTTCTCATTTAACGTAAATTTACTTTACCAGTATTTCCTTATAATTATACGAGTTCGTTGTATTGAAAATAAGCTACTTAGCTAAAGTTCTCAAGTAGCCATTTAAATTTCTCAAAACATCATCACACATCTACTTTGTATGCAAAATTACCTGGGCCTGCTTTTGATGGACAAAAAATTGTGAACGAGGTACTAAGTTTCCCCTACCCCTGACGCTACTAACTGATTCATGAGCCGTTTAGTTGGCTATCAATTTTATAATTGTTTTAAAACGTCTCAGTCTATTTTGTTCCGAATGCCATTAGATGAAATTGCTTACGTCAGTGAAATGCTTTTTGCTTTCATTGTTGAATACTTACTTCGACCGGAAACACCTTTTGGGGGTAGTTTTCAGATTCCTCTGTCGTATCATCCGGTTGTGATCTTTGAAACAAAAAATAAGTCAAAGCTTTATGAGAGAAAAGAAGAAAATAACTATTAACGATTAACTGCAACAACGACGTATGAAAGCCACGCTAAGGGCAGAGGTTACACCTTATTGGGGGAGGGGCGCACTCCCCTATGTGGCCTAAACGGCTATGTACCGCTGAACAGGGCATGGTTTTCAAGGTCCTGAGTCTTAAACATGGTATGCAATTTCACTATTTAGTTTCCTGAACAGAGTGTCTTTTTGGGCCTAAAGCCTGTAAAAGAGAGTAAAGGTTATCGATTAGCGGGTAACAACGATTGTTTTTTCTTGCAACAAATCTAATTCCATGATAGTAGTTTAAAAAATTGATTAATTCTGTATGCGAAACGAAATGAGATAAGGTCACAGCTGAAAGGTCTCGCTGGAACACCTCGACCAGACTCCATTGATTGCCTCCCACCCGGGGGAAAAGGCTACACTGCACCGACCTCCGCTTACAAGCGGTAAGCACGACTGAGGAGGTGAATTCCAAACATACAAACCAAACGAACCAAAAACAGTGGTTACATCATATTACCGTGCGGTACATGGCGACAATAACCTACCCAGGATCCACCGGTTCTTCTTCTCGATCAGCAGAGTACGCTTTTGGGTCACTATCCTGAGGAAACACGCACATAGGTCTGAGTTACCCAGTATAGTTTTTTCTGTGATGATAGTAAGAGAGGTAGCATAATTCAAAAGAAAATCGTTGGCAGGCAAACCTTCATATTTTACCATCACGAATTCAGAGGGAGGGGGTTTTTTCGAGTACCAACACCAGCTACTCTGTCTCAGACTCAAAATAGTACTACAGTGGAATCCCGGTAAGTAACTCGAACCCTCTATAACTCGAACTCCCGATAACTTGAACTTTTTCCTATTTCCCTTGAAGGTTCGAATTATCGGGGGTCGACTGTAATTAACGCCGGGGTAACAAATAAAAGGTTGGCACAACCAATATAGTGATCTCCCAAGTTCTTTTTCGCCCTTTGGAGTGAAATCATCCGTTGACAATGAGGGGGAAAATGTTCTAACAGAGTCGTGCAAAGCGGCACGCTGGCTAGAAGCCCGTCGTCACTCACGCCCGAAATCTGTTAACGACGCAAAAGTAACATACAGAATAGGCGTTTTTTTTTTTTCGCGTTTTTAAGGCTTGCACGAAGTGCAGCGCGAGACACGCGTTACGGGGAAAGGCGTGGAAAGAACGTTACTTTTTAGGTATATTCCCCCGCCAAATCACGCCTGTATTGCCGGTTAACACGAAAGAACATCAAGTGGAATGTTAGATGCATGTTCCGGACCAACTGCAAATGTCTACGTTCTTATATCCGACAAAAATAGAAAAATCAGATTCTTCCGCGGGAAAAAGAAAAGTATGGTGTCTGGCTAAAGGTTCCAACAAGGTTCGACTGTACCAAAATTTGAGGACAAAACCTCTAGGATACTCGCAGAGACGTAACCATATGAGGAATGAACAGTGTCTTCAAGAAATAACAGGCAAGATTTACATAAATCATAAGTATATTCCCTACCGTGTGAAGATGTCCTGGATCCATGAGCTAATGTTAAAGGGTGAGCTATAATATGTGGAGAAAAAAAAATTTGTATCAAAAGAATTGTCGGTAAGGTGTTGTAGTGCTGTGAATTGACCACACCTATCTACGACTGTAAGTAAAAAAGGCCATAAGATACACTTGTATTTGTGTTAGCACTTACAGGCGACGAAACCAATGAGAGCAGAAGCCTTTCGTCACAGAGAAAGGTATCTGTCCAAGTGGTGCCAGACGTTTGGGACATATGACACGTGGTATGCAAGGTTAGGGTCTGTCTAATGTAATGGGGTTCAACTTTTTCTACAGCTGAAGCTAGCCAGTTTTACTGGCAGCCGCTTAAGGAGACTTCGTTATTACCCAAGGTTTCCTCCATCCCTAAGGAAATCCTTTAGATCAACTATAAATTCAACCCCCTGTTAAATACTGACACTCCGACTCGTTAATAAGGACACTTTTTTTTCCTATCAGAACTTTGTCAAAAAACAAAGTTTTCTCGACTTTTTCACGGCCATGAATTGCATCTATTAGCCCCTTTGGCCTTTCTAAATACCGAAATAACAGATTTCCCTTCCATTTCATGTGGTTCAACTAGTGAAATCCCTACCCTTTCATATACCTGAAGCCCTGAAAAAAGTGCCCTTTCGGGCGGAGCCTTTCCGTATAGGCCATTATAAAGACTCACCCCTCAGCCCCAGGGAAACAGAGTTTCATGTTCAATCAAATAGTCCTCATGTGTGGTTAGTTCTGGTTTGTATTTTCCCACAAATTGAATAAATATGTGATACTCAATATGTAATTTTAAAACCTCTCTACTCCTTTTTGGTGCAAGTACGTGCCGTTAGAGTAAAGAGGTGGCTGATAAGTATGAGCCAAGTTACGAGACGTATTAACGGTAATTTGCCATTCAAAGTGGTGATAATAAAAATTGATTGTTCAAATCGTGTCACAATAGATCTACCCAGTTTTAAAACCTGAGTTTGTTACTGTATTTTCCTACAGCGTTGCTTTTAATAATAGTTAAGATCGGATCGCATTTCACCTATAAATAATATGAAAGTATTTGGCCCTTGGACAGATTTTTGAAATTCTTTACTCGTTGTTGCTATTTTTATATATATCGAAAGCGTTCTTCGGCTCTGCTTTTAAAATCTCCTTCAAACATCTCAGCGACTTATAAAATGCTCAGTGACTTCCGTTTTCTCTTTTCTCAGGCAGAGAAGCACCCTGTATCGTGAACTGTCATTGGATTCACGATTCAGTAGATTAAGGACCAAAGAAATGCCCATACCCTGACACACAATACGAAAGGAGCTGCATTAAACATCATCGGGCTGCATGCCACAAACAAAATTGTCTCACCAAAATTTATGCTAACTCCCGGGCTTGGGAGGGACGTATACCCGAAGTTACTTGAGATGGTGTACAACTTAGGCAAAATTTAGTAGGGAGCTACGATGATGGCAACGACAACGGCCAAAAACGCAATAAGCTTAGAAGAGCAAAACAAGAACTTTGCACGTGCATCACACTTTTTCGTACATTTCTTTGCCGTCCTCCGACGTGATATGACCAAAGTTTAAGTCGACTTGAGAACGGGAACGACAAGGCAATAAATTTAAGCATCCAAGCGCGGTGCCCGCTCGTCAGTTCCAAAAAAAAAAACTAGTTTGAACCTCATTTCCCTTCTTTCAGGTAACTGTTTTACTTGGTATAAGGCGGAAAACGTTTGAAAGGTGGAAAGTCGATTTCACAGCGACGTTCCCATTGGCGTCGCCTTCGTCGGATCCTGAGGTCTCTATAAATATCAAGGCCTACCCTATTTGTAACGCCTAACCGCGTGACACATCCCCTTCATAAGATTTAAAGAATTGACTTGCTATGTTTTAGGATAACCTGATAAGTGACCAGTCCCCGTAGTACTCAATTTAGACGTTTTCGCCGGCAAAACTGAAAAAGCTAATAAAACTAAAATTGTCAACTGTTCTAGAAAGTTCACGCCGGGATTTCTCCATCAGATTTAGACCTAGAATTTGGGTCTGAACCAAACATAGTACTTGCAAAACGAGACATATTAATGTTACGGGTTAGTAACATCAACATAACAATCGCTCATTTCCATATAAATAATAATTCAGGAAAACAGCTAACAATAACGTGCTTTTCGTACTAGTTGTATGCTCTAGAGGATTAGTTAGAGCAGCCGAGGTCAGGTCTCTTTTGTTTCGGTGAGGAATACACTTACAGGTTATTTATGTAGAATCCATTTGCAGCTCAACTTAAACAATAATTTTCTTGTTCGAATCGAGACAACGCAGTCTTGGCCACTACATAACTATAGCATCTAAACTCGGACATTATGTGGAAGAACTAAGAAAAAACGTTGAATTTTAGAATTCGACATTAGTTACCCTGAGGTGCTACCAGAAATTTATTTAAAGAAGACAAAGTATCTTTCTTAGCTATATATCACTACTAAGTCTACTATGCTTTGAAGAGGGCAGATTTACATAAATGCATGCTGTGGCTATTTTTAGCCACAGCAATAAATAAAACCGACAGAAGTACTCGATTACACGCTCAGCTTCAACTCGCAGATTTGTAACGCTCTTTAGACATTGATATATATTTATAAAAATTTAAAATTCAAGTTCCTCTCAGCCTTCGCTAAACTGGGCTTATTTTTTGGGTGTGCCGAAGTTTCGTCTTGCGTATTAAACCGCAATGTTGAGTTCCAAAGGAGTCAATAGTATGTGTGCGTTGCGTGAAAAACATTTGCGAACCACAAATTCTGTCTCAATTCTAAGGAAATATGTGTTACCGCAGTCAACGGGAAAATTACACGATATTTTGATCTTTAAATGCCGAGGGATCAGAAAATTACATATTCTGGCTAGCATTTCCATAGGAGCTTTAGTATAAACACTTGTCTTGGTGCGAGCCTTACTATTAAAGTAGACTAGACTCTATAGTCAAATGTCTACTTCCCAATACTCGCATGTGTCGCAGTATTTACATTGATGTATTACCATAAACATACTGATCATACATTACCTTGTAGGCGATCACTAAGACACAGTTGTAGCTAAAACGTTTGTGTCGAAAACACTGTAAATAGTTGGAGGTGATACAATTATCGACATGCACTCCTATCGATGGATGAAAAGAACTGATAGATACTCATAGTTTGAAGCTGAGTACTCTACCGGTCACGTGACTGTTTCAAACAAGGAAGGGCTTTCCTGTACATCAAAATATTGGCTTCACTCTATAACCCCGGGGAAAAAATGCAGTGAAAGGGGTTTGAAAATCGGCAACAAGTCACTATGAACTTTGTGGTCATTTGAATATCCATCTGAGTTTATCTTTACCAATGTATAAATTAATATCTCGCCGCACTTTTTAAAATAAATCATATCTGATAGTTTTTTTTAGAGCTGAAGTTTCTTCCCCTCTAATGTTATAATTGTACTAACTTGTATGTTTTCAGTTTTTCTACTTCTACGGAAGGTACCTCACATGAGTAATAATGAATGGCAACAGAAGCTCGCGAAATGTCACGTTTTTTTTTTTATTTTTTTTTATTTTTTTTTTTTATTTTTATATAATAATTTTTTTATTTATTTACAACACAAGCACTACTTACAAAATGTTACTTAACACAACTTACAGTGCTTACACTACTTACAACACCGTACTCATTACTTTTTTACATAGAAAGAAGAAAAGAAAGTTACAATTACAATTATTGACGACTAATAACTTAAACTAAAGTGATTACTAACATAATTTACAATACTAACACTATAAACACAGTGGCAACAGAAAAGTATAAGAGGATTATATATAGATTAAGTATAAGTGTTTTTCTTTTTATTTAGAAGGATAAGTAAAGAGAACTGAACGGCCTAGACTGTAATAATAATAATACTAATAATAATAAAGCGTTACGCGGTGCACAATATCGCCCATTTTTTATAAAAGTCACTTAAAGTTCTATTTTTGGTACAAATATATTTTTCTGTTTCGAATTTAATATTAATCCTTAACTTAAACCCTGCAATAATTGGACGAGTTTGTGATCTTCTGCAATCCCATATATATAGTTTGGCTATTAGTAGAAAGTAGTTCAGTAAAGGGCATTGTACTTTTCTTAAAATTTCCAATGCCCCTTACATTTAAGGAAACTAATTTGCACGTGCTAGCGCACATTTCAGTAGTAGTAAAATACCAGTAAAACTGTGATTGCAGAAGAAAACATGAGATATGATTAAAGAGCGCTCCGCTTGGTTTTTGCAATATTTAGATAAGAATAGACCGTTCCTCAAATTAGAGGAAATTAACGCGAAAAATTTCATCAGTACATATATAATAGAATAATAGATTCTATTGCCTTTTACGTACACTACACAAAAATGGAACAAGAGGGAAAAACACGATAATACACCTACCTCGTGTTCCAGATTAATATCCATCTACTAACAACCTAGATCCTACACAGAAGAAAGCTCCTCCGCCAAAAAAAAAAAGAAAAAAAAAAAATATAATCAAAATAAAAGGTGTCCATGGAGCAAAAATCTAACAAAAGGATGATGATCTTATCTGATGTTGTTTTGATACAAAAGAGCGAATAATTAAAAATCATACATAATATTGAGAAGAAAAGAAACTTATAACTTCGCCAGAAAATATTGTAATCGCCGTTCGGCAAACTAATGAATAAAGCTCAAACTCAAAGGATTCTTTTAGAGTCAGAATTTAATATATTTACCATCGATGTAAAGTTTGTCTGGTTCAGACTTGCTAAAGTTGGCCCGTCTACCTTCTTTTCTTGCCTGTTTTAATTTCTCCATCTGCGCTTTCCTCAGTTGATGTAGTTCCTTTGGAATGTCCTCAAACATTTTGAAGTTTGTGCCCTTTAGCTTTCGCCCTTGTTTGAAGACACGCTCCTTGTCTGAAAATCGTAGAAACCGAGCGATAATCGTGCGGCCGTCGTTACCAGTATCATCTTTTGGCTTGCCTAGCCTGTGGACCCTCTGGAATTCAATATGTTCGGCGTTCTCAACTCCAAGCGTATTTTTTATAAAGTTCACAAGAACGCCTTTGGTATCTTCGTTTGCAGTTTTCCCTTCTTCAGCGTTTTGGGAAACTTCTGGAATTCCTTCGAATTTTAGATTTTCGCGTCGGCTATAGGCCTCTAAATACAGGATTTTCTTTCGGCATTCACCTAGTTCCTTCTTACGCTCGTCGAGAGTTGATTGAAGTCGGTCGAGTTCGCTGTCGACAAATTGGGAGTTGGATTCCATATGTGTAAATTTTCCTTCGAGCTTTTCCTGTTTATCTTTGACTGATATGACATCTACTTCCATGGAAGTAATCTTGCTTTGCAGCTTTTTAACAGTTAAGCTTATATCTTCCATCTTTAAATCCATGCTATCTAGTCTTGCGATTATAAGGTCTAGTTTTCCCTCGACGCCTTCCACAGGAGTTTTGGCGGCCATTGTTTTCTCGGCGTCGCTTGAAAGTGTCACGTCCGGAGATGAGGCCTCCTTAGCTCGTTTTTCTTCAGGTGACGCTTCAGTTGAGCTACAGGATGAGTTTCTGCTGTATTTTCTCTTAGGAGTAACAAAAACAGAGGAAACCTCCATAAACACCGTAGTAAGAAAAGTGGCCGACGGAGCTTCCGAAAATGCGTCTTCACTCCATGTTGCTCTCCCCAGACCGACTCTCACGTTGCTTTAGTCTATACAACCCTTCCAAACAAACACTTTGGTAGACCACAAGAACATTCATTGTAATGGTAAATTGGACTTTGTGTGATACAATTCAGATCAATTCAGGGAGTAGTCGGGTGAGTAATGCAATTAATCACCTGATTACCCCTGAATCAGTGTACGACACGATTAATTAATTCTGTCAAAGGCAAACAAAGTGCGAGAATCTCAGTATTGGAATAACGGTACATAGTTCTTACATCGTCCAAAGCGAAACCATCTATCAGAGACTTTTTCAGCAACTGTCTCGCTTTCTTTACTTTCAAGACTTTCCAAAAGTGTTTAACAGGCTGTCAAAGTGTGAACAAAAAATATCTGCAGTACGAGTCATTGGACCAGTTTATTTCGTCCATTTTTCTTTTCAAATTGAAGTTGGACAGCCTGCTTACTTTTTAAATTTATTTTGATTGGTTATCATGGGCTATGTAGTTAAATCTCATTGGCTAGTAACATTTGCTACTTGATTTTTGTTGAAACGCATTGGTATGTTTTGGTCTTTTACAAAAAAAGATCGGTGAAAACGAGGGTGAAGTTTGATGGATAATTATTTCAAACATAATTATTGTCACGCTTGTTAAACAAGGTTTGCCGTCTTCTTTATCAAATTGCGTATGTTCACTACACACTCACCACACTCACGACCTAAAAACCCTGTCCGCTTTTTACTTTCATGTAAAGCGGACAGTAGGCTCCGGGGTCCTGTGGAGAATATCCCAGACGGTTATTCAGGTTGATTTAAAAACAGAACAAAACAGAACAAGACAAAACAAAACAAAAACAAACAAACAAAAAAACATTCGCAGTTAGATCCCTGTTAGGTCAGACTGGGAAAATTTTATTCCCGTGCATGAATAATTTTTCTTCCAAGCCTTGTATGTCATTATAAAAACTAAGGTTATTTCTTCGGAGTATGGTTACTATTTAGAATCATTATATTATTAATATTCTTCTACTAATTTCTAACGACCCCGTCCTTGAAAATGTGCAGCATAAGGTCACTGAATTAAATCCGTACCGCCACGCTTACCCTGGTATCACTGAAGTGTGCAAACCTTGGTCATGGTTATGATTTTCACTACCGTCACACACGATAGCTTGGAGAAAATGATCCTACATCAAGAAAAACGCCCTTTATTTTATAGCTTAACGCCACCTTAACATCAACGTGCAAGACAAGTCAGTGCATGGCAATTCAAGGATAAATTAAGAGTTGACATGCAGGGGTTGAGATTTATTTCGTACTATCACGCAAGTTCTAGGTACCCTTTAAGTGCCAAAAGTGATCAACATCAATTTTCTCCTGACAACATCAATATGTAATTAAGAGAAAAGGGCTTGAGAATTAATTAATGAGAATTACTTTATCAAATTCTCTCAACCGAGTCTTTAAGAAAATGTATCCAGATCAGTATAGAGAATTTGTATGTTGAAATCGTATGATGTGTTCTTAGACATTGTTGAGAGTGGGCTACTGTGTTTTCCGAAGACACAGGTTGCGACAAAAACTGAACCATATTATCTCCTTAGTTCTGAAGAGAAACTTCTTTTGGTTTGTTTTAAAGTATCGAACATCTAAGCAGTCGCCTTCGTGAACAGCTCGGGTTGTGTGAGAGCACTAGTGACCGGACCCAAACTTGCTGCGAGAAGCAGATATTTTAAAATGGAATAATTTAGCACCACAATCTGATCGAGCAACCATAACGTGCAGGCCTCGACACATAACTCTACTTTTGGTCATATGACGCAGCTAAAAGTCGCTTAACGATTGAAATGCTTTTATTTCTTAACAAAAAAATAGGCCGTGTCTCTTGAAATATTCACACAGACATTCATGTTCGACTGTGCTGTATTAACACAAGCTGGACAATAGCAAAACAGACGGCAGATATTCGGCCTGAAACGCTGATGTCATCAAAGCAATGAATTAGGAAATTCTTGCTACAAATCGTATTCAACGACCATGTCAACAACACCAAATGTGTTCAGAGCGTGTAAAAAGGGTTACGACTGGAATTACTTGAGTGCCGCGCTGTTAGCGACAGACTAAACTGAAACAACAGTTTTCTTGCTTTATTTTGTATTTTAAACCGAAAGGAGAAATGAACGATTGGGCGACTCTACTCATAAATTTCTCTCGCTTCTTGATCGGGAGAGCTGAATTAGTAAATTCTTGGTTTGACGGAACGGTTATTTTTGGTCGAGTAGAACACACCAGTATCAAATTATTCTTAGCAACATCAAACATGGCCACGGGACTTCCAGTGGACGAAAGGCTTCTTTCCATGCACTGACAGAGATGGGACCTTTCAGTAGATGAGAGTCTTTTGGTGCGTAACTTTTACAAATTAATCTCAGTAGCGACAGAGATGGCCAAGACCTTTTGGTAGATTAGAAGCTTTTCAAACGTTAAACGTACAAGTTAAACTTGACAACAAGACAGACGGCCAGGAGCTCAGAGTGGATGAGCGGTTTATGGTGCGTAATGACCTTAACTCTGGCTGCCGACTCTGGAAGAAGAACCTTAACAATTTGAGAGGGAACGTAAAACTTAAAATGATATGAAAAGGCAACTTTTCAACTGAAACTGAAATAGATGACTTCTCCCCGTAAACGCAATACAGCTTTGTTGAAAGAACAACGTCCACGTTTCTTTATGCGCGAGAGTTTACGCGTGGTGGCTAGATGCCAAGTAAAACAGGTGTTAATTCTAAATGCATGCTGATGGCTGATGTTTCACTGACATGCGCTACAAAGAAGTCGCTTCGTAAGCAGCAGAAGTCAAAGAGGTAAGAGAATATCTCTTTACTCACTTTCCTACATGTGCTATCCGTATTGTTTTGTTTTTAGTTAGAACGCTTTCTCAGTATGTAAAAAACTAAAAGTACACACGCTTTTCAGAGAGAACTCATTGCTCCAAGCATTCAACTCGAAAAAGACAAAGTTTCACTCGCTCGTCAGTCTCTCTAGAAACGTTTCTTCGTGTACTTCGTAAAATGAGAGATTTTCTTGGTCGGCAGGCAGCCTGTTGATATTCAGCTCTTCGTAAATTCGCTCATATAGAGCCAATATTCCCTCTACTGCCAGGCAAATTTAATCATCTTGTTGAACGGGGATTCAATTTGTCCACAAAATAACGAGGGCGTTTCAATGTGTGATCGTTTCTGTTAAAAACTCGCGTTGAGATCGACTAACACGATTTAAGAACCTGAGCGAGGACGTCACATTGGCTTAATGCTCTCTTTCTAGTAGGTCAGTCTAATAAAGGTCTGCCACAGAGTGAAAGTGAGGAACTCTTTACTCGAGAACTACAGTCAAAATCCGCTCTCGGTAGCAAAAAAACATTCAGCATGGCGTCTAAAGAAGTTTGACATATAGGCCTCTTAGACTAGAATTTTAAGTGAGCTCTCGTGCGTGTTTAACCTCGTAATGCAGTACAGCAAAAGAACTTTGCTTTGGAAAACGAAGTACGTTTTGAAAACTTGAGTTAAATTAACCACGTTATTTTCTCCTCAAGATTTTGCTCGACTAACAACTAACAACGGACGTGGAAATAACACAAAGTAACACGAGTCCAGCTAGGATCATTTTTTGATATTCGCCTTAGGTAAGTAGAAACACCCAGTATTTCGCCACCGCTGAGTAAACTGTGAATGGCGCATTTCTAAATCAGGAAAGGAATCCAATACAGCCTTGAATTCTGGATTCCACGCCGTCGATTTCGGATTCCAGGTACAGTGGAACCCCGTTAATACGGTCACCAATGGATCAAAAAATTCGGCCGTATTAACGAAGGGTCTTTTTTACAAGAAAATGTATGGCGGTTTTTGCCAGGCGGCCAAAACAAGTGGCCGTAATAACGAGGTGGCCGTAAGGCGGGGGTTCACTGTACTAGCCTGCTTTCGAAAGGAAAGGGGAAGAGAATTTGCGCCCGTAATCACGTTCCCTTTCATTTTCTTTCAAACGCCTGCCACGCAGCAAGGCTATCCAGGCACTGGGTTCCAGTCTTTGTCAGTGGAACTGTGATTCTGTATTTCAATCGTTAGCAGGAGTCCGGATTCCTTGAGCTAAATTCCGGATTCCAAAGCCCAGGATTGCGGATTCCACAAAAATTTCCCCCGATTCTAGAATCAGGGGCGATTCAAATGTCATCACGATTTAAATAAATCCTCGTGCACATCTTGTATCCATACATCTAGTTTGCAAAGGAGTAAACTGTAAGCCCAGTTACCTCATCTCGTCTTTTCTAAGAAGTCTCTTTAAAACTTTGGCTAAAACCGTTAATTTAACAAGATGACATATTCGTCCAAATCATTCAACACTAAGTTAGTGATTTAAGGAAACCATCTGTCCCATCGACCTCAGTCAGATGAGTTAGTCGAGAGTCTTCGCAAAACATCATTTATTCGATTTAGCATACATTCAGGAAAATTTCGAAAGTTGTTGTTGATCACAAACATTACGTTCAAATGACCTTTGTTTAAAATATTGTGTAAAGCAAAATAATTTTTTGGTCAATCAACAGCTGTAGCTAGCCAAACCATGAAATCCACTCGATTGCACGTTTAAGTTTGATAAAACATGCACTTTTGCTTGAACTCATGAAAAACTTGAAACTGGAATAGGTAGCCAGTATAGCCTGATCAGAATAGATCTGCCCTGTGTGATAGTCCATGACGAAGTTAACTACTAGGTCGTGAAAAGCACAGAGTGGGATGGTAAGACAGCACATGCTATAATAGCAATTGCCTTGAAAAATATTAAAGCACCATAGTGCTCCCTCTTTTCAATGTCGATTATTTGGGATAAGTCGTACTTTTGACAAGTTGCTTTGAACGAACGGATTCACTGTCCCTTTTTCTTTCTTCGGCTTATTAGAAACAAGACAGGATATTCGAAAATGTTTTCTGACATTGATTCGAACCTGACCTTCAATGGCCATATCGCTTCACTAACCTCCTCACTTTTGTCAACATTAGTTCAAATAAATAGGGTATGACACTTTTTCTTTTTGTACTGTACATGATCCTAAATTCCCGGCTAGTATTTAGCAAACTGTTCTATTGCTTCACCGTATGGTCTGGAACTTCTAAAGAACATATCCATAAACTACAACTTATGCTAAACTTTGCCGGCCGTATACTTACTAACACAAAAAGTTTGATCACATTACACCAGTCTTACATAAACTTGTTTTGCTCACCATCGACGAGCTACTACGCTAACGTGATGTATAACCATATGATCTTTAAAATGTCTCAACGGTGTAGTGTCGAGCTATTTAAGTACTAAGATTGTAAAACGTTCAGAAACTCATTCAAATTGCATTAGACAGAGCAATCAATTTAACCTCCCTCAGTGCCGAACCTCCGCCGCACAGCGTGCCTTCCGCTTCAGGGCTTCTAAATATTGGAATAGTCTTTCCTTTTAAAAGGAGTGCCAGGCTTGAGACAGTCAGAATGGGGAAATAGAAAATTTACCCGTACTTTGTTGATCTTTTTTAAATGTTTAATAGCTTTTTAATTTTTATAATCGTAGTTCTAGCATTCAAATTCAATTGTAGCTTAAGTTTGTCTTTTATACATGTCATTTTTAATAGGCAACAACGGCCACGGATAAAAAAGCGTGATGCACGTACAAATTTTTAGAAGTTGTTGTTTTGCTAATTTAAACCTACTGTTATTTACCGTCTCCTTTGTCGCCATTGTATTTGCTTAAGCTGCCTACTGTTTGAAGGGCCTCTAACCACTGCTGTTGCAAGAGGTGTCCAACTTTTAGAAATACTCTCACTTACAGAAAGACGTTCTATACTGTTCTCAGGGACATACTTGAGTGGCCGAAAAACTCCCGTAGGACCTGTAGCAGGTATTGATATAAAGGCTTTTTGCTTATCTTCCGACAACGTTTTTGAAATAGATATATGTAAAGTTCCAGAATCCTAATATCCACAACGGCCAGCCCACTTCTGCTTCTATACGACACTCAAACTGCCAGTCAGCTCTGACGGCAACCAATAAGAAGCGCCTATCGTAACAGCCCCGCCATATGGAAAACGAGACGCACACCACTGAAACTCCTGCATTTGGAGAAGAAACCGCACACGGTCCGTTGTGAAAAACGTTCCTCTTAAATTTTCCTTTTACAAATATCATAAGTTTCAGGGCATCCTTTAAAACGGTTATGAAAAAAAGGTCTAAGAAAACATCTTGTGAAATTTCAGTGTCAACCAGAGCCACCTGATTCCCGTAGGCAAGCAAGCAGACTAGTAAAAGGGAAAATAGCAAGGAATTTGATAAAGTTTGAAAAACAACGGTCAGACTATTCAAGAGGGAGAACGGCTCATCACTTTATTTCGAAGGTAAACATTATAGTTTTGTTGTTTACATTTTATATTTTGCCTTTATTGTTAAAATACCCATGCATGGCAAGGGTCAGCGGCGTTTACAGTTCATTAATATTCAAAAACAGAGCCACGTCAAACCATCAAAAATCCACAAGAAACTTTTCGTTCAAACATTCCTTTAAGTGAACCAAAAAAAGTGGAATATATCTTTTTGGTCGAAACCTTTCTTTTTTTTTTTCCTTTCACGTTAACATTCGCAATAACTGCGTCGCGTGTCCAACACCATATTAAAGAACAAAGTCAGGGGACCGTGAAGAGTAAGGAAACAAGGCGTCTGCTCCTCAAAAGCACAAAAAGGACGCGGGAGTTTTACCGTAGAAACATTGTCAAATGATTCAGTTCCATGCCTCACAACAGTAGTATTATTAATAGTTCATTTGAATTCCCTGCTATTATTAGAAATCATAGTTAGTGTGATCCTATTTTTAAGCAGTTTCCAAAAAAAACATTTTTTCCTATACTCTGTACCTTTAATTACTAGTCAAATTGGTTCTGAAAAGTTGAAGCATGAAAAATTTAGTCTGCGCCCTTAATTCACTGCAAGACATAAGTCAGTTACAGTGAGAGAAAATCACGCGCATCGACTTAATCGACAACAGGAAATAATCAAATTACGCTGTCGGTTAGAAACCGGAATTGCACCAAAATTTTTACGTTCAGTACACTGACAAAAAATACAGTGAGCTTTCCTTACGAATCCAGTGGCTGAAAGTATATCTTTTTCTAGTCCCTACGGTCTTGACAATGCTTTAAAACAAGAGCCGTCGAATACTTTGCTAGTTGGAAACTGACACACACTAGATGTCTTGTTCTTGCTGTTATTCGTTCCGCCATCAATACACTCTCTTCAAAAACATGTTAATTCAGATTGAATGACTTAAAGATCATAATTCTCGAAAAGGGTGACAACATCAAAACTCAAGAGGCAACCGCATTATAAACTACAAGGTAAATTTACAATTTCAAGAGCGAAATTGTCTGTAACTTTTAGCGTCAACTCATTCATTATAAAGGGTATATGTCAGTGAAAAAAAAAAACGGATCGCTGTTCTCCTTTTCTCCTGATTCATCTTGCACTAAATGGCGGCAAGTCACCCTTATTGCTCTGGCTCTTAGATTTCCGGGTCTTAGTATTCCGGGTCCTATTTAAAAATTGTAACCCATTTTGATCTTCTTTATTTCATCCGTGCTCTTCTTTTCTATTTCCATATAATTTAAAGTATTCCTTCGCTCTTTTAGGGATCACTTGTCATATTTTGCTGAGTTTGATGGCCAGTTCGTCAGGGTGTTAGTTTTCCGGGTCTTGGTTTTCCGGATCTTAGTTTTCCGGACACTCCAGCTTAGAAGCTTAACGTTTACCACCCCACGCTCTAAAAATAACAGTCACTCGCCATTATACATATATTTGTTTTCGCGACAAATTTATAAACAAATATGAAATGTCAAAGAGAGGAAACACTACAAATAGATAACAAAACAAAAGACAACGATACAGAACAAATAATACACTGTAATGAGTACAACAAGAAAACATGATTGCAGAGCCAACGGAGTTCCACTGACCGGAAATTGAATCGTATACAATAAGCATTCAAGATATCGACTGATGATCCAAACAGCTACGGGTAGAAGCTTCTGGAAGTAAAAAGGCCTAAGCTTGAATTCGACTGAACCTTAGTTACCATGATGCACGCGGAAAAGTTATTGAACCAAAGACGATTTAATGCGCTGTTGTATTGGAATTTATCAAAAATTCATCCACTCTTCAGTGGTGAATGAGGACTCTGCTGAAATTGGTGAAAGGACTATTCCGTTCTTCCAAGAAATCATAGGAGCCATTCACCTCATGCTACGCTCTCTTTCTCAAGTTCAGAGCATCTTTTCAGTTTCAGGTATCTTTAACAGACTTAGCATACATATTAGAATACAGAAAATAAGATAGATTAATTTCAAAACAAACTTTAACGCAATCGGCTTTGACGCGAGAAGAATTTTTCTCTATCCATTCATTGCTTGTAAATTTCTCATAATTAAGAATTGTTTTCCGTTATACTACTTCGACAGATGTCAAGGTGCATCCACATAAACTTGAGTGAGAACTAGATTTTAAAAGTGGTTATTGAATAAGCGGTTATACGTTATGAATACAGTAACACACAGATAAAGATAACATACTCTAGGTAAACCAATATTTCCGCGTCTAAGACTTTATAAAGCCGTTTTAACTGTGCTACATTATCTTTATTTGACTGGCGATGCCTACTGCGGGTGTCATGAGGTGCAGTCCATAAAATTTGCAAAGTGGTTACAAAAGATTTATGTTGTGTAGTTTTATTTTAACTTTTTTTTTCATATGAACGAAAAGGAATACATTTATATTTAAAACGACGGTATTAATGTGAAAAGTGGTGAAAAGCTTTGTCCAAGTATTGAGAAATTCGTAAATTGCAGCTGTGATATTGACCAAGAGACTACAGCAAGTAACCATATCGACCCTCATTTTCATATACTCTGATTTAATACAGAAAAACCCTAAAATCATACCGGAAAAAGGTTCCCTTCAACGTTCTCTTTCAACAATCCGAGTGGATTAAACTGGGTAAGCTACTCAGTGCATTGATTTTTATGTATATTTGGAACAAATTTCTTAATCCTTTCCTACAGCCATTACTGCTTGAAGTTTTGCATTTTAATTTGGTTAGGCAAGTCTATGAATAAAATTAAGACAACGTAGGCAGTCATTTCACATGCTACATTTGTACTTTCCGTATTTTGCGATGTGAAATTTATGATGACTAAGAAAGATTCAATTTGTGGAGTGTAAGTGTTAAATATAACTTCAAATGGAATGTGAGTATGCTGATTTTGAACCCCAATACACAAAATATTAAAAGACAATATCAAAACAAAAATTATCATCTATTTTGATCTTCTTCATTTCATCCGTGCTCTTCTTTTCTATTTCCTTGTAATTAAAGTATTCCTTCGCTGTTTTAAGGGTCACTTTTCATACTTTGCTGAGTTTCTTTGATGGCCAATTCGTCAGGGTCTTAGTTTTCCGGGTCTTATAGTGTTCCGGGTCCGTTCCGGGTCGTAGGTCTTAGTTTTCCGGACACCTCAGCGTAGAAGCTTTAACGTTTACCACCCTACGTTCTTAAAAGGACAGTCACTCGCCATTATACATACATTTTTTGGCGAGAAATTTATAAACAAACATGAATTGTCAAAGAAAGGAAACACTACAAATAGATGGCAAAACAAAAGAAACCAATACAGAGCAAATAATACACTGAAGTAAATACAACAAGAAACATGATTGCAGAGCCACCGGAGTTCCACTGACCGAAACTTCAATAAGCATTCAAGAAATCGACTGATGACCCAAACAGCTAGATAGAAACTTCTGCACGCAAAAAGGCCTACGCTTGAATTCGACTGAACATTAGTTACCATGACGCACGCGGAAAAGTTATTGAACCAAAGACAATTTAATGAACTGTTGTATTGGAAGTTATCAAAAATTAATTCATTCTTCAGTGGCGAATGCGGACTATGCTGAAATTGGTGAAAGGGCTATTCCGTTCTTCCAAGAAATCATAGGAGCCATTCACCTCATGGTACGCTCTCTTTCTCAAGTTCAGAGCATCTTTTCAGTTTCAGGTATCTTTAACAGACTTAGTATACATATTAGAATACAAAAACTAAGATAAATTAATTTCAAAACAAACTTTGATGCAATGAGCTTTGACGCGAGAAGAATTTTTCTCTATCCATTCATTGCTTGTAAATTTCTCATAGTTATTAATTATACTACTCCGTTATACTACTTCGACAGATATCAAGATGCATCCACATAAACTTGAGTGAGAACCAGATTTTAAAAAAGGGTTATTGAAGAGGCGGTTATACATTATGTATACAGTGACACACAGATAAAATAACAAACTCTGGTTTAACCAATATTTCCGCGTATAAGTCTTTATACAGCCGTTTTAGCTGTGCTACATTATCTTTATTTGACTGGCGATGCCTACTGCGGGTGTCATGAGGTGAAGTCCATACAATTTGCAAAGTGGTTACAAAAGAATTATGTTGTAATTCAAATTCGCGCAGTTTTATTTTAATTTTGATTTCATATTAACGAAAAGGAATATAATTATATTCAAAACGACGGTATTAAAGTGAAAGGAGTTGAAAAGCTTGTCCAAGTATTGAGAAATTCGTAAATTGCAGTTGTGATATTGACAAGAGACTAGTTCAATTAACACATGTCGACCCTCATTTTCATATGCTCTGATTTAATACAGAAAAACCCTAATAGAAAAGATTTATGTTGCAATTCAAATTTCCGTAGTTTCGTTTAAATTTTATCTTTCATATTGACGAAAAGAAATATATTTTTATTTAAAACGACGGTATTAGAGTGAAAAGAGGTGAAAAGCTTTGTCCAAGTATTGAGAAATTCGTAAATTGGAGTTGAAATATTGACAAGAGACTAGTTCAAGTAACACATATCGACCCTCATTTTCATATACTCTGATTTAATACAGAAGAACCCTAATATCATACCGGAAAAGGTTCCCTTCAACGCTCTCTTTCAACAATCCGAGCAGATTAAACTGGGTAAGCTACATAGTGCATTGATTTTTATGTATATTTGGAACAAATTTCTTAATCCTTTTTTTTCTTAATCAATTAAGTTTTGCATTTTAATTTGGTTAGGCAAGTCTGTGAATAAAATTAAGAACACTTCGGCAGTCATTTGACATGCTACATTTGTACTTTCCGTATTTTGCGATGTGAAATTTATGATGACCAAGAAAGATTCAATTTGTGGAGTGTAAGTGTTAAATATAACTTCACGTGGAATGTGAGTATGCTGATTTTGAACCCCAATACACAAAATATCAAAACACAATATCCAAACAAAAATTGTAATCTCTCTTTAGATCTTCTTCATTTTATCCGTGCTTTTCTTTTCTATTTACTTTTAAGGGTCACTTTTCATATTTTGCTGAGTTTCTTTGATGGCCAGTTCGTCAGGGTTTTTGTTTTCCACGTCGTAGGTCTTAGTTCAGTTTCCGGACACCTCATCGTAGAAGCTTTAACGTTTACCACCCTACGCTCTTAAAATGACAGTCACTCGCCATGGTACATACATTTTTTTGGCGAGAAATTTATAAACAAACACGAAATGTCAAAGAGAGGAAACACTACAAATAGATAACAAAACAAAAGACAACAATATAGAGCAAATAATACACTGAAGTAAATACAACAAGAAAACATGATTGCAGAGCCACCGGAGTTCCACTGAAGGGAAATTCAATAAACATTCAATAAATCGACTGATGATCCAAACAGCTGGGTAGAAGCTTAAAAAAGGCCTACGCTTGAATTCGACTGAACATTAGTTACCATGACGCACGCGGAAAAGTTATTGAACCAAAGACAATTTAATGAGCTGTTATATTGGAATTTATCAAAAAATTCAACCATTCTTCAGTGGCGAATGCGGACTACGCTGAAATTGGTGAAAGGACTATTCCGTTCTTACAAGAAATCACAGGAGCCATTCACCTCATGATACGTCTCTTTCTCAAATTCAGAGCATCTTTTCAGTTTCAGGTATCTTTAACAGACTTAGCATACATATTAGAATACAAAAAAGTAAGATTAATTAATTTCAAAACAAACTTTAATGCAATGAGCTTTGAAGCGAGAAGAATTTTTCTCTATCTATTCATTGCTTGTAAATTTCTCATAGTTATTAATTATACTACTCCGTTATACTACTTCGACAGATATCAAGGTGCTTCCACATAAACTTGAGTGAGAATTAGATTTTAAAAGTGGTTATTGAATAAGCGGTTATACGTTATGTATACAGTAACACACACATAAAGATAACATACTCTGGGTGAACCAATATTTCCGGGTCTAACACTTTATAAAGCCGTTTTAACTGTGCTACATTATCTTTATTTGACTGGCGATGCCTACTGCGGGTGTCATGAGGTGAAGTCCATAAAATTTGCAAAGTGGTTACAAAAGAATTATGTTGCGTTGTTTTATTTTAATTTTTTTTTTTTTTCATATTAACGAAAAGGAATACATTTATGTTTAAAACGACGGTATTAGTGTGAAAAGTGGTGAAAAGCTTTGTTTAAGTATTGAGAAATTCGTAAATTGCAGTGGTGATATTGACAAGAGACTAGTTCAAGTAACACATATCGACCCTCATTTTCATATACTCTGATTTAATACAGAAGAACCCTAATATCATACCGGAAAAGGTTCCCTTCAACGCTCTCTTTCAACAATCCGAGCAGATTAAACTGGGTAAGCTACATAGTGCATTGATTTTTATGTATATTTGGAACAAATTTCTTAATCCTTTTTTTTCTTAATCAATTAAGTTTTGCATTTTAATTTGGTTAGGCAAGTCTGTGAATAAAATTAAGAAAACTTCCCCAGTCATTTCACAAGCTACATTTGTACTGGCCGTATTTTGCGATGTGAAATTTATGATAACTAAGAAAGATTTAATTTGTGGAGTGTAAGTGTTAAATATAACTTCACGTGGAATATGAGTATGCTGATTTTGAACCCCAATACACAAAATATCAAAACACAATATCAAAACGAAAAGTATCATCTATTTTGATCTTCTTCATTTTATCCGTGCTCTTCTTTTCTATTTCCTTGTAATCAAAGTATTCCTTCGCTGTTTTAAGGGTCACTTTTCATACTTTGCAGAGTTTCTTTGATGGCCAATTCGTCAGGGTCTTAGTTTTCCGGGTCTTATAGTGTTCCGGGTCCGTTCCGGGTCGTAGGTCTTAGTTTTCCGGACACTTCCGCGTAGAAGCTTTCACGTTTACCACCCTACGTTCTTAAAATGACAGTCACTCGCCATTATAGATACATTTTTTTGGCGAGACATTTATAAACAAACATGAAATGTCAAAGAAAGGAAACACTACCAATAGATAGCAAACCAAAAGAAACCAAACCAGAGCAAATAATACACTGAAGTAAATACAACAAGAAACATGATTGCAGAGCCACCGGAGTTTCACTGACCGGAAATTCATAAGCATTCAAGAAATCGACTGACAGAAGCTAGACAGAAGCTTCTGGACGCAAAAAGGCCTACGCTTGAATGTTACCAGGACGCACGCGGAAAAGTTATTGAACCAAAGGCAAACACTGTTAAATGAGCTGCTGTATTGGAATTTATCAAAAATTCATCCATTCTTCAGTGGCGAATGCGGACTATGCTGAAATTGGTGAAAGGACTATTCCGTTCTTACAAGAAATCACAGGAGCCATTCACCTCATGGTACGCTCTCTTTCTCAAGTTCAGAGCATCTTTTCAGTTTCAGGTCTCTTTAACAGACTTAGCATACATATTAGAATACAAAAAAAATAAGATAAATTAATTTCAAAACAAACTTTAATGCAATGAACTTTGAAGCGATTCATTGCTTGAAATTTCTCATAATTAAGAATTGTTTTCCGTTATACTACTTCGACAGATATCAAGGTGCATCCACATAAACTTGAGTGAGAATTAGATTTTAAAAGTGGTTATTGAATAAGCGGTTATACATTACGTATACAGTAACACACAGATAAAGATAACATACTCTAGGTAAACCAATATTTCCGCGTATAAGACTTTATACAGCCGTTTTAACTGTGCTACATTATCTTTATTTGACTGGCGATGCCTGCGAGTGTCATGAGGTGGAGTCCATACAATTTACAAAGCGGTTACAAAAGAATTATGTTGTAATTCAAATTCGCGCAGTTTTATTTTAATTTTAATTTCATATTAACGAAAAGGAACATAATTATATTTAAAACGACGGTATTAAAGTGAAAGGAGGTGAAAAGCTTTGTTTAAGTATTGAGAAATTCGTAAATTGCAGTTGTGATATTGACAAGAGACTAGTTCAAGTAACACATATCGACCCTCATTTTCATATACTCTGATTTAATACAGAAGAACCCTAATATCATACCGGAAAAAGGTTCCCTTCAACGCTCTCTTTCAACAATCCGAGCAGATTAAACTGGGTAAGCTACTCAGTGCATTGATTTTTATGTATATTTGGAACAAATTTCTTAATCCTTTCTTTTCTTAATCAATTAAGTTTTGCATTTTAATTTGGTTAGGCAAGTCTGTCAATAAAATTAAGATAATGTCGGCAGTCATTGCACATGCTACATTTGTACTTTACGTATTTTGCGATGTGAAATTTGTGATGCCGGACTAAGAAAGATTCAATTTGTGTAATATTAAATGGAGTGTAAGTGTTGAATACAACTTCACGTAGAATGTGAGTATGGTAATTTTGAACCCCAAGACACAAAATATCAAAACAGACGTCGCGTAAAATGTCTGGTCACATCCGGGGATTTAACAGGCTAGAGCCGCTTTCAAGCCACGATTTGGTCTTTAAAATATGAAGGAATAATAAGACTTAAGCGACTTTGAGAGTTTTTTGTCTCTGATTGTGAGTTGCTCGTAACCAATTCTCAATGGGTGCCACCGGAATATAAATATCAAGAAACATCAAATTCAAGATCTTACCTTTGATTATTACCAGCTTATCGGATTTCACTGTTTTTTTGCGCTGTAAGCCAACCAAAAATTCGCATTTTTGTATGGATTTTCGGGTGCGTAGATTTTCACGGAAAGATTAAAACCAAAGTTTGCAGAAATTGCGAAGGGTACCACCTGAAATCGTGCCATCTCCTGTCTATCTTTAAAACCACCAAAGTCTTTTTAAACTAAGGAAGACGATAAAAGCTGTTATTTTTGTTACCCTTTGAATTTGACCTGAACTCCTGAGGGGTAGACGGCGCGAAAACTTCCAGAAAACGTCCTGGGAAACCAAAAAAAATTCTCCGCGACTCCGGCCGCCATCTTTGTTATTTTTCAAACTTGTTTCCAGTACTCTTTGACCGTTTTGTTGTTTTTACTTCATGTATGCTTCATTTAGAAGTGTCACGGCAAAAAAAGACAAAACACTTACCCCCACCCGGAAGGAAAGATTTTTGTCGCTATCAATGGACTGGGAATTCTACGCGATGAACGTTTAAGCAGCAATTTATCTGGTTTGGTATTGACCCTCTCTCTTCCGCAGAGGCCTCTTTTTATCATAGGGAGGGCTGGAGAAAGGGGAAAAGAAAGCGCGCGGGGGACGATGGGAAGAGGAAACAGAAGAAGCGAGGCTGTGTAGAGACTAAACAACTCGTGGCGTGTGAAGCAAAAAAGAAAAAAAATACCAAAGAAACGAAGAAAAGAAAATCAATCATTAATCATTAAAGTAATTGTAAACTTTACAATTTGGGTAAAGTAGTAACGTTTCTCCTTTCTGTTATCGAACAGCTGAAGACCCAAAAGACCAAAACTCAATATGCCACTAGAATCCCAAATTTGCTTTATATTGCCGACATAATCTTTTACTCCACAAAAATACCCAGCATATTCGGGAATCAAACCGAAGGCCAGTTTTTAATTGTTAAGTCTGACTTAACAAAGTAACTCAACCTCTAGATTTGTTTCAGGGTGTTTCATGGGACTTATTTAAGGCTACGCTATACACCGTTTATTTGCACTGGGCTAAGCAAACAGCGTCTGGATTCTTATACATTGTGAAACTATAGAGTCGTTGAGAGTACGGTTTTGTTAGCAACGGAAAATATCCGTTTTAGTCACCAGCGACGCGTTGGAGGTGCGCAAAAGATCCTTTACCAAGATAAACTTTAAAAGACTGTAAAAAAATAATCGGCGTTGAAATATCATAAACGTATTTCTAATCCGATGAACAAACAGACGCCCGACTATCATGAGCATTGTAAAATATGGTCGTTAAACAACAGTCAAAACAGTTCGCTTATTCAATTGTCATGAAAAGCATGAAAAGGAACCGTAAGAGTGCTTTGCCTCCGATTGATCATGTTCCGGAATGGGACTACGCAAAAGTTCTGTTATAAATCTCGTCTACTTTGATTTTTGGATCATTTTAACTCTACTTTCTTCGGATATTTCACTTCACATAGATTTCAAGATATCGCAAAACAATCAATACCAAAACAAGTGATTTCTCGAGTTTACTATTTCATTTAATTAATCTTGCTCCGGAATACAGTCAATCGAGCACGACAAGCACATTTTTCTTACTTATAACGCCTCACACTCAAGGGAATACTTTTTGTCTTTACTTCAACGTTCTTTTTAGTTAATATAACTTGACTGACGTGATTCGGCGAGTGTTTCGATCATACCTCACGAAAACGTAAAAGTGAGGTTTAAAGTCACGGAAATCAGGGAAGGAAGTGCAGAGACGTATAGAATCGTAAGGTGCTATTCTTTACTAATGGTGCTATAAGGAAATACACTTTCAAGGTTGCCTGCGTCGCAGACCCGCTGAACCCGCAGACCCGCTGAACTTTCTGTTTAGAGCGTCTGCGAATTAGTGCACAATATCGTGTTCGAACCCCGCAGAGTCGCAAGGACATATATCGGCGTGTTTGACTATAAAAATGGTTTAAACGAGTGCGTCTGGTACGTGGGAAGGCTGCAACGCAGGCTATTTCACGGCCGTAGTTTACTTAACTTCCAGTCACGCATGGGGTGCCACAGGGTAGCATTCTAGGGCCTCTGTTGTTTCTGATTTACATAAATAACTTGCCAAATGTGCTTAACTCCTGCAACGCGTCACTTTATGCAGACGACACTGTAATTTATTTCTATGGTACATCCTCAAAGGAGTTGAGTGATAAGTTAAATAACGATCTACTGGGTGTGGCGAAATGGCTTCATGATCACAAACTGACTTTAAATTTGGACAAAACTAAATGCATGCTCATCGGTAGTAATAGGAAACGCGAAAGCAAAGTAGATTTGACTGTTTCAATTTTAGATCATAGTATAAGTAATGTTCGCAGCTTTAAATACCTCGGTATACATATATCTTCGGATTTCACATGGACTGATCATATTGAACACCTAACTGGGAAAATCAATCAGAGGCTTGGGCTTCTCAAGCGTATAAAGCATTTATTGCCTTTCAGGGCTCGTCTACTTTTCTATAAAAGTCTTGTTAAGCCCCTTTTTGAATATGCTGATCTAGTATGGGGCGATAAACACAATATTACCCTTATGTCTAGTTTGCAAGTTTTGCAAAATAAGGCCGCTAAAGTTATTTTAAATAGACCATTGTACTCATCCTCCACTGAGGCATTAGCCGTTCTCAAGTGGCTGCCTCTAGAGAAAAGGCGATTTCAAAGAAGGTGTGTACACGTATACAAATGCATCAATGGCCTAATTAATCACGATATGGACTTCATCAGACAAGACGTACTTCATAGGCATAATACACGTAACAAAGGCAATTTTAGATTACCACGTGTCAAAAGAAATTGGGGGAAGCAAAGAACACAATATCATGCCGTTTCCGATTTTAACTCCCTCAGTCAGACGATCAAAGACTCAAGGAATGTAAATAGTTTTAAACGTAATGTTTTTAAGTTTTTGATATAGCTACTTACGTTTAATTTTTACTTATACTTATTTGTAATTTTTTATGCATTTTTTGTATCTTTTTAATCCCTTTGCAATTTTATAGCTTTGTTTTGTTTTTATAATATATATCTAGTTTTAAGGTCCTTTTTGAAAACCATATCTTTTATGAAAAAGTTTCCTCAATAAAGATGATTATTATTAATGACTATTTATTTTCTGTTATCTTTATACATGGCTGATTCAGACGTATCAGTGGTAAGATTAGTAACCTGACTTCATTCAATAAAGCAACTTATTCTATAAATAAAATGACAGAAAAACAAAACGGTGACTGAACCATAATCTAGATACGTGTAATAATAAAGAGCAATTTAGGAAACAAAGCTAACAGTGAGAATCCTCCTTAATATGTCTCCCAAGCAGGAGCAATAAGGGAAACTACCTCTATACGCGAAATTAACTTTGAACATGCAACACCGAAAATTATTATTAGTCTAATTTAATTTCAAACTTATTTTTTTTGCGTCTGGGGTAGGTTTTTTAATAGTTTTTGTTTTCGCTCGTCAGATTTAATCTTTCCCTGCTGGCAGAGGCCTCTTTCCCCTGGTCAGTATTCGGCGGGGGAGGGAGGAAAAGAGAGAAAGATTCTTCCCGCCCTCCGAATACCAGGGAAAAGAGGCCTCTACCAGCAAGGAAATGTAATCTTAAATTTATGTGAACTATGACATTTGTGTTAGTTGGAAGAGTTCAGGCAGAGTATCTCCTAGCTAAAGGGCTGTTTTTACCCAAGGCTTTGTTGAAAAACCTGAGCAATCAGGAACCTACGGCGAACACAGTTAGTGCAACAAGAAGAAACTAACTGTGTATTTCTCCGGTTCATTTTTCAAACAAACCTTTACAAAACGAAATATAACATTCAAGGAAAAAGTCGAACCCGTCCCTTTACTAAAGAGTCACCCGTACTTTTTATCACCAGACGTAAATGAATTTCTATAATTAGGAAAAGCGTTAGGAAGGTGTAGTGTGTGCGCGAGTTTCTAATGCTATCTCATTCGCTTTTTTAAGGAATCAGACTCTTCTGGAGACAAGAGGTAAGCAACTGACACGCTACAAACCGGGTTAAACATGAGGAAGTGCGGGTTTGCTCCAGTAACTTTTGTACAAATAAACGACACTAAAGAAGAGCACGCTACTGCTTCTGCGTATATATGCTTGTTTGTAACCTGGCAGCGCTTAGATCTTACCAGCTAAACTCTAGGCAATACAATACTGATCACAGATGGGGTAGCTTTCCCAGTTCTTAATAAAGGTACTTAATAACATTGGACGGCTGTACCTTTTAATGCGCAAAAACTTCAAGGAATTTCCAAGGAAGCAAAACGATACAACCTAAGTGCTGTGACGTGTTGAGTATTTTAATGGAGACAAGAACTCACTTTGTTGCTACTGACCAGAATTTTCCTTTTCATTTAGCGACGAAGAAATGGACACAAGCAGCGATTCCGGCAGTTCAGCCACAACTGATCAGTCTGTGGTGCCCTTCGCGCTTGGGCAGGTAAAAATACTGATTCCCAAACCTTCTCACGCCAAACATCTACTAAAATCTAATATTCAAAACAATGATCTTAAAATTATATTCCACTGACACAAGAGGTAAAAATCACTCCTTTTTCAAAAACACAAACGAATTTTAATTCTGTGCTCTAATAAAACGCATGGAAACGAAATAAGACCAACAGACTGACCGACTCACTAAAACTGACCGATTCTCTAATGAAGTGACTTACGAGCACTTGACAACACAGCCGGGCGAGCTGAGTGACTAACAGATTAACGTTAACCACTGAAAAGAATGTTAAAATCCTTTTTGTTACGTCCCACAGCAACTCTCCTCTCCTTCTTTCCAATTTCGGTCGATGAGAAAAGCTTACTTTTCCTTTTGAACCTCACTCACAACAAATAATTCCAGCATATGTCCCAGTTTAATCAAAATGCTTATTTTCTCTAACTTACTAGGGGCCCAACACAAACCAAGCTATACGCCCGCAAAATGATCACCAGGCAAATCAAGCAAGGTAAGACAGAAAAACAGTCATGTCTATAAAGAACTTAAGTAAACAAAGTTCCACCTCCACCATCTCGTACCTAATAACCTGTACCCACCCTAATCAACTTACTAGTAGTAATCACAGGTTATCACAGAAATGAAAAGGGACGCGCATTCGGCCGAAATTCCGAGAAGGTAGGTCAGGGTGAAATAACCTGTTTTCCGGAGCGAGAGAGTATTGAACAGTTTCCTAGCCGAAAATGACACATTGACAAAGATATCATAAAAAGCATACTGAGTTAGAATGTTGTCACTGCAAGAGGCCACATTGCAGTGACAAACTTACGCCCGTTACACTATGCACAACAACGTCTCATTAAAAGTCATAGTTTCACTTGCACTTTAGGGCACAGCTCTGCTAACCCTGACCCATAGCCTACAATTCGGCGTATTTTTAGGGCGAGCAAAGGCTGCTTGTTACTGATGAGTCTTTGGACTACTGAGGCCGGCCGCCATCTTTTCTTTATCGATGACGCGAATAGAAGTTAAGCCACTGTTTTACATATCTTTCAGGTATGGTCCACCAAATATGGTAGCGGCGTCGAGTCATCTTCAGCCACAGGTGTATATGAAATCTTCTATTTTATTCAGTAAACAAGTAACAAAAGCAACGTCGGTAAAACGGCATAAAGCGACATTTTTGCCCCGAGGTGGCAATTTTTTGGGCCAAAGAAACATACGCATCTTCTCGAAATGCTGGCTGCGTAGCCCTTGCATATTAGGACGGACTTAATACATTTCGTTAATTCCTATTTTCATAATTTACTTAAGTTATGGGTTTTAACCAGGTTCTTTGTTTTCCCTCAGGCTGGTGATGACATGCCGGATCCTGTGGCAGTTTTTTTGTTCCTTTTCTTTATCTGTCTTACTTGGAGAAAAGTTAACTGAAAAAGTAGCTATTTAGTGTAGTTTCCCATTGTTAAGGTTATGGAGTTTAAGTAACTAATTCATGTCTGTCGAAGTAATTGTTACTGTTTTTGTTTGATGTAAATTTGCTGATCTAAAACGTGTCTAACTTTTTCAAAGCGTAAAAAAAGAGTAATGTCTATTTTAGGAATCTCTGCGCAAAATTGTTAACCATAGAAAATTGAGTGGCTATTTTTATAGTTTTGCTATTTAATAATAAAAACTTCAAGTACCCGTGTTTGGTGTTGTTTAGTGAGACTTAAGCCACTGAAAGAGCTCTGGTAAAGAACCTGCTATCATCCATCTGCGTATCCACTGAAACAGCCCCTCTTAAAAGAACGTTTCATTTCCCTACCGCGAAAAAAAAAAAAAAATTTCTGTGAATTGTTCTTGTGTTTGTGGAAAAATCAAAATTGAACAGGACCTTATTTAGCTAAATACAAAATGACGACAAAGGACTTACTACAGAGAAACTACTGACACCGGTACGAAATGTCCGGCTTAAAGAGAGGTGTCCGCATTATCGATCGATAACTGAGGTCGAAGGAAGTCTGACACCAGGTAGTAAAACAACAAATAAATAAAAAAATAAAAAAATAAATGAGGATTTGGAGGTAGCACATCCAAATACTGGTTCTTCGTCTACCTGATTCCTGGTCGAATTGGAATTTAGAAATGCTGGTTTTTGAGGAGAGGGGAAAACCGAAGTAAAAAACTTCTAGGAGCAAGGGAGAGAACCAACAACAAACTCAACCCACATTGGTGGGAGGCGAGTGCTCTCACCACTCCGTCACCCTACGCCAACACCGAGTGGCAGACTTAACTTTTCCTAAAAATTTAAACTCTTCGACGCGTTTTTTGATTTCGTGCTTTAGTCAGCAATTTTTTCAAACGTACTCTGTACAAAATGAGAAAAAATCAAGGACCTACAAAACAATTTGATAGCCACCGAACCACTTAAATCCGTCGTATTTTTGACATTCTTATTGCCGTGACGTCTTAAACTCCCTACATGTAATAAAAAGCTATGTACAAGGCAAGATACTTTAATAACAACAAAATATAACGTGTCAGTTTTACGGGACATAATACGTCAATGTTTCGGTCTGAGATTTCCCTGTAATGACCCGTCGAACGGACAAGGTTAATAAGTTATTTATTATATGGCCCTTTTAGCGCTATTAAAATAAAACACCAGATAAAATTGAGACTGCGATCAGTTAAAATCAATAACTAGTCAGCAGAGAGCTTTAAAAAAAAACAGGTCACCTCACCACGACACTGGTCAGCCAATACCTTTTTTGACAGCTGTCAATTGACTATAACATGGATGTCCAGTATCAACCACAGATTGTATATGGCTTGGACACTAGTAGCAATAATGCTCGTTCATTACAAGGAAATCTTGCCCGCTCAGCAGCCAATCAGAGGGAGCGTACTATTGTAGCCATATAATAAATACACATGAACAAAATATGGAAATAAACTAAGGCCGCACAGCAAACGAAACCGTATTTATTATATAAACACGAGTGTTTTACTGGAAAATATACCACTCGTAAAATTCATAAAAAATGCATCCGGGACCCGAGTGGTTTATTTTCCATAATCTCACACGTGAGTTTATCGATGACGTAATTTCGGTCATTTCCCTCTATTATTTTATCGATGTCTTTTTGTCTATATAATAAAAAGAACATTACACGGCGGCTTGAAGATATGAATTTTATTTTCTCGTGGCAAAAACAATATTTTACTCACTGCTGCGCTCGTTCGTAAAATATTGTTTTGCCACTCGAAAATAAAATTCATATCTTTGCGCCACCGTGTAATATCCTCTATTTATATAGGGTCTGCAATAGATATGATTGAGAATAATAATACCCATCAAGTGGCATCATTTCTGCGAAACCATTTGCCAACGAGGGGAAGCTGGAGATAAACTAAATTATGACACCTTAATTGCAATGTTTTATGAAACTTAGTACGAGGCACGTAACCGAAGATGTTCGTTCGTTTACGACAATCGTCGATCGCATCAATGCCCGAGATAGCTTGAGCCTTAATATTTAATTAGCTTTTCTAATGTTAATTAAACTTGTTCAAAAATTGACCACGCACACAACTTCGGAAACTGCATTCTAAAGTGAGTATGCGATCAAAGAAACAAAACCTTTTTTGCAGCAATTCAAAATTGCATTCTCTTCTCCCCTTTAACAGCAAGATAGAGTATGGATAGACCATTTCTTAACGTCCCAAAGCAGCATTGTCTCTTGGCCCTTTCAAAACAACGACTTAAGAGGCCCTGACGGAAAATATTGAGACTCTGCCGACAGTTGCAAAATTTCATAATTTATTTTATTCTACCTAAAAGAGCCTTTTGGTGAACTATTTTCAGAAATGGAAATAAAAAGTTCCATCGCGCTTTGCTTTTTTTTCAATCTTTTGGGTTGAGGTGAAATAAAGGCCAACTTTAAAGGCTTATAAAAATCCTAGTATATAAATTTACGTGTCATATTGTACATCAGGTGAAAGCTTTATCCTTGTCGGTCATTATCTCTAACTGTCGTTTTTGAAGCGTCAACTGTACACCCATATTGTTTGCATGAAAATGGGGAAAGGCATTTTCCATTTCCATTAAATCGGAAAACACTAATACAAAATTAACCGCCCACTTTTCCACGCCAACGCGTCATAACCCGACATCTGTCTGCTTAAAAACAATTAAAACATTCCCCAACCTTTTGACTATGCAACTGTAAGTTCGATTACTGGTGTAACAACTTGATCAATTGACTGTGAACAACATTAAGTAAAATATGCTGGAATATTATGGTCAAAGAAGCTTTTTGAGGGAGTGCAATAATGAGGTCCTCGCAGGGAGGTTAATTGTAAACTTTACAATTTTCGTAAAGCAGTAACGTTTATTGTCCTTTCCCTTATCGAAAAGCCGAAGAGCCAAAAAGTCAAAACTCAACATGCCACTAGAATCCCAAATTTGCAAACAGCGTCTGGAAACTATAGAGTGGCTGAGAGTACGGTTTTGTTAACACCGGAGACTATCCGTTTTAGTAACCAGCGACGCGCTAGAGTACAAGTAAATCCGGTACTGACTTGCGCAAGAAATCCCTTTCCAAGATAAGCGTCAAAGCAATGTAAAAAAACAAAAAACAAAAACAAAACAAAACAAAAAAATCCAAAAAAATACCAGCCTTGAAATATCATAACCTTATTTCTAATCGTGAATAAACAGACGCCCGACTGATAAGCTTTGGAAAATCGGGTAGTTAAACGATAGTGAAAACAGCCCGTTTATTCTATTGGCACCGTAGCATGAAAAAGAACCGTGTGCGTGCTTCGCGTTCGAGTGATTGTATTTCGGAATGAGACTTGTCAAACTTTTGTTACAAATCTCTTCTAATTTTATTTTTGGATCATTTCAACACTACTTTCATCGAGATATTTTACTTCAAGCAGATTTTAAAATGTCGCAAAACACTGAATGCCAAAACAAGTGACAAAAATTTAATCTTATTCCGGAATACATGCAGTCAATGAGCATGACACTTATCACATTAATAACGCCTCAGATCACACACACGGAAATACTTTTTGTCTTTACTTCAAGGTTCAGTCTTTCAGGTTAATATAACTTCAATAAGGTGATTCGACGCGTGTTTCGATCATAGCCCACGAAAACGTTAAAGTGATGTTTGAAGTCATGTAAATCAAGGAAGAAAATGCAGAGACATACATAGAATCGTAAAGTACTCTACTCTAAGTTGGATACGCTTTCACTGACGGCCTTGGTTTATAATTGCTAACGGACATTTATTTTTTGGTTATCTTTAGAGATGGCTGACTCAGACGTCTCAATGGTAAGATTAGTAACTTCATTCGATAAAAAACTCATACTATCTCATACTATAAATACAATGACAGAAAAATAAAACGGTGACTGAACCATAGATCTAGATTCGTGTAATAATAAAGTCAGTAGCATGTTAGGAAACTTAGCTAACAATACTGAAGAATCCTCCTTAGAACGTCTCCCAAGCAATAAGGAAAGCTACCTACATACGCAAAATTAACTTTGAACATGCAACACCGAAAATTATTATCAGTCCACTTTAATAGGGTGTCTCAAGCTTATTCTTTTAGCGTCTTGGAAACGTGTTTCAATGGTTTTTTTTATTCGCTCGTCAGATTCAATCTTTCGCGGCTGGCAGTCGCCTCTTTCCCTTGGTATTCGGCCGGCGGGAGGAAAAAAGAGAAACGGATTCTTCCCGCACTCCGAATACCAGGGAAAAGAGGCCTCTGCCAGCAGGGAAATGTGATCTTAAATTTATGCCAACTATGACATTGCGTTACAGTAAAAACCCACATATAAGAACCTACAATTTAAGAACCTGTTAGGCTAAAATTTTCATTTTGAACCCCCTTTTTATAAGAACCTATTTAGCCTAAAATTTTCAATAGGTTCTTATTTTACAAAAATGAAGGCAGTGGAGAAGAAAATACAGCCGGAAAAAAGAAAATTAGTTTCAGTCAGTAAGATTCAAAATGTAACACGGCATTTTATGGATACTACGGCATGAAAGACATGCATGCTAGTACTTTGGAAAGATAAAATTATTGCATGGTTATCATCTAAACTGTATTCTAGATAATTATTTAATACAGCAACATATTCCATATCACATATGCCCTGTAGTATAGTTATCTGTGCTGATCGCTGGTGCCCCTATTAAAATTTAGAACCTATTTAAGAACCTAAGTAGCCTAAAATCCCACTAAATACCATTTCTATAAAAATCTATTTAGGCTAAGTTGGAAAAATCTAGGTTCTCATACGTGGGTTTTTACTGTATTGGACGAACAAATTTATGGTGGAAGAGGTCAGCCAGAGTATCTCCGATCTAAAGGGCTGTTTTTACCCAAAGCTTTGCTGAAAAAAATTGAGCAACCAGGAACCTACGGCGAACACAGTTAGTGCAACAAGAAGAACCTAACTGTGTATTTCTCCAGTTCATTTTCCAAACAAACCTTCACAAAACGAAATACAGTAAACACCCACGTATAAGAACCTATAGATTTTTCCAACTTTAGCCTAAATAGGTTCTTATAGAAATGGTATTTAGTGGGATTTTAGGCTTAGGTTCTTAAATAGGTTCTAAATTTTGATAGGGGCACCAGCGATCAGTACAGATAACTATACTACAGGGCATATATATATATACCTTTTTTCCGGCTGTATTTTCTTCTCCATTGCCTTCATTTTTGTAAAATAAGAACCTATTGAAAATTTTAGGCTAAATAGGTTCTTATGAAAAGGGGGTTCAAAATGAAAATTTTAGCCTAACAGGTTCTTAAATTGTAGGTTCTTATATGTGGGTTTTTACTGTATAACATTCACGGAAAACGTCAAATCCGTCTTTTTACTCAAGAGTCACCTGTACTTTTTAACACCGGACGTAAATGAATTTCTACAATTAGGAAAAGCGTTACTAGTTAGGAACGTGCAGTGTGTGGGCGAGTTTCTAATGCTATCTTATTCGCTTTTTTAAGGAATCAGACTGCTCTTCTGGTGACAAGAGGTGAGCAACTAACACGCTACAAATCGGGGTTAAACATGAAGGTTTGCTCCAGTAACTTTTGTACAAATAAAAGACACTAAAGAAAAGCACGCTACTGCTTCTGCGTATATGCTTGTTTGTAAACCTGGTAACCAGCTAAACTCTAGGCAATACAATACCGCTCACAAATGGGGTGAGTTTTTCAGGTTTTACATGTTCTTAATAAAGGTACTTAATAACGTTGGACGGCTGTACCCTTTTATCCGCAAAAACTTCAAGGAACTTCCAAGGAAGCAAAACGACACAACCTCAGTGCTGTGACGTGTTCAGTATTTTAATGGTAAAAATGTTACGTTCCTTTTTTTCAGACGGAGATGCCCTTTCAAAAACTGAATATCCTGGAGACAAGAACTTTTTCGATTGCTACTGACCTGACTTTTCCTTTTCATTTAGCGATGAAGAAATGGATACAAGCAGCAATTCCGGCAGCTCACCCACAAATCAGCATATCGTGCCCTTCGCGCTTGGGCAGGTGAAAAAACTGTTTACCAAACCTTCTCATCGAAAACATCTACTAACATCTGATATTCAAAACAATGATTGTAAAAATATATTCCACTGTCACAAGAAGTACATGTTAGCAAAATTCCACTCCTTTTTCAAAAACACAAACGAATTTAAATTCTATGCTCTAATAAAACACGCATCGAAACAAAGTAAGACCGACCGCAGACTGACCGACCCACTAACACTGACCGATTCTCTAATCGAGTGATTTACCGAGCACTTGAATACGCGGTCGAGCAGCCCGAGTGACCAACATCAACTTTAACCACCGAAAAGAATGTTAAAATCCTTTTTGCTACGTCCCACGGCAACTCTCCTCTCCTTCTTTCAAATTTCAGTCGCTCAGAAAAGCTTACTTTCCCTTTTGGACATCAATCACAACACTTGATTCCAGCATATGTCTCACTCTAATCAAACGCTTATCTTCTCTTACTAGGGACCTAACGCAAACCAAGCTGTGCGCCAACAAAATGATCATCAGACAAATCAAGCCAGGTAAGACACTAAAAACAGTCATGTTTTTTGAGAACTATATACTAAACAAAGTACCATCTCCACCATATAGTACCTAACAACCTGTACCCAACCCTAACTAACTTACTTGTAGTAAATAGTTTACAGGTTATCACAATATAGGGAGGCGCATTCGGCCGAAAGTCCGAGAAGGTAGGTGGTAAAATAACCTGCTTTCCGGTGCGAGAGAGTATTGAACAGTCTTCTAGCCGAAAATGACACATTGATAAAGTTATCATAGAAAGCACACTGAGTTAGAATGTTGTCACTGCAAGAGGCCAGATTACAGTGACAACTTACGTCTGTTACACTATGCACAACAACGTCTAATTAATTCCCTGTTCTACAATTCGGCGTATTTTTCGGGCGAGCAAAGGCTGCTTGTTACTGATGAGTTTTTGTACTACTGAGGCCGGCCGCCATCTTTTACTTTATCGATGACGCGAATAGAAGTTAAGCCACTGTTTTACGTATCTTTCAGGTATGGTCCACCAAATATGGTAGCGGCGTCGAGTCATCTTCAGCCACAGGTGTATATGGAATCTTCTATTTTATTCAGTAAACAAGTAGTAAAAGCAACGTCGGTAAAACGACATAAAGCGACATTTTTGCCCCGAGGTGGCAATGTTTTGGGCCAAAGAAGCTTATGCATCTTCAGGAAATGCTGGCTGCGTAGCCCCTGCATATTAGGACGGGCTTAATAAATTTCCCTAATTCCTATTTTCAAAATTTACTTAAGTTATGGGTTTTAACCTGGTTCTCTTTTTCCCCTCAGGCTGGTGATGACATGCCTGACCCTGTGGCAGTTTTTTGGTTCGTTGTCTTTATGTGTCTCATTTGCAAATATGTGAACTAAAAAAGCAGCTTTTTAGTGCAATTTCCCATTGTTAAGGTTATCGACTTTAAGTAACTAATTCATGTCTGTCGAAGTAATTGTTACTGTTATTGTTCGATGTAAATTCGCTGATCTAAAACATGTTTATAACTTTTGTCAAAGCACAAAAAACGAGTAATGTCGATTTTAGGAATCTCTGCGCAAAATTGTTAACGATAAAAACTCGAGTGGCTATTTTTATAGTGTTGTTATTTAATAATAAAAACGTAAGGTACCTGTGTTTGGTGTTGTTTAGTGAGACTTAAGCCATTGAGAGAGCTCTGATACAGAACCTATCATCCATCCGCGTATCCACTGAAACAGCCCCTCATCAAACAAACGTTTCGTTTCCCTACCGCAAAAAGAAAAACAATGAAATTTAGGTGAATTGTTCATGTCTGTGTAAAAATCAAAATTGAACAGGACCTTATTCAGCTGAATATAAAATGACCAGAATACACTTACTACAGAGATACTATTGAGACCGGCACGAAATGTCCGGCTTAGAGAGAGGTGTCCGAATTATCGACCAATAATTGAGGTCCAAGGAAGCCTGACACCAGGTAGTAAAACAACAAACAAATAAATAAATAAATAAGGATTTGGAGGTAGCACATCCACATAGTGGTTCTTCGTCTACCTGATTCCAGGTCAAACTGGAATTTAGAAACGTTGGTTTTTGAGGAGAGGGGAAAACCGGAGAAAAAAACCTCTAAGAGCAAGGGAGAGAACCAACAACAAACTCAACATACCGTAAAATTCCGAAAATAAGCCCCTCAATATATAAGCCCCCCAAAATCGTTACGCAAAACACCCTCCGTTAAATCGCCCCTCGGAATAGAAGTCTCCCGGGGGGCTTGTACTTGGAATTTGCCCTCGAATACAAAGTAAAACAAAGCAAAAATGGTAACTTTTTTCCCCACTAGAAGCTAGCCTAATCGATTTTGAAACGCAAATTTCCCTCCGTACATAAGCCCCTCCAAAAATAAGCTCCTCAAAAAGGGCCTTTGAAAAATATAAGCCCCGGGGCTTATTGTTGGAATTTTACGGTATGGCATCGACGCCGGGATTTGAACCCGGGCCACATTGGTGGGAGGCGAGTGCTCTCATCACTGCGCTACCCTACGCCAACGCCGGGTAGCAGACTTAACTTTTCATAAATTCTAACTCTTCGACGCGTTTTTTGATTTCGTGCTTTAGTCAGCAATTTTTTCAAACGGACTCTGTACAAAATGAGACAATATACAAAACGATTTGATAGCCACCGAGCCACTTAAACCTGTCATGTTTTTGACATTCTTGTTGCCGTGACGTCTTAAACTGCCTACATGTAATTTCTGCGAAACCAATTTGCCAACGAGAGGAAGCTGGAGATAACCTAAATGATGACACCTTAATTGCAATGTTTCATGAAACTTAGTACGAGGCACGTAACTGAAGATGTTCGTTCGTTTACGACAATCGCCGATCGCATCAATGCCCGAGATAGCTTGAGGCTTAATATTTAATTAGTTTTTCTGATATTTACTAAATTTGTTCAAAAATTGACCATGCACACAACTTCGGAAACTGCATTTTAAAGTGAGTATGCGATTAAAAAAACAAAGCTTTAATTTTTTTTTTGCAGCGATTCAAAATTGCATTCCATTCTCCCTTTTAACAGCAAGATAGAGTATGGATACGCCTTTTCTTTATTAACGTCCCAAAGCAGCAGTGTCTCTTTCGCCCGTTCAAAACAATGACTTAAAAAGAAACGCTGAAGACGTTGCTATTAAACAAACATGACAACAGATCCCTAATTTATTCATGACAGATGGAGGTTAAGTACACAATTTTCTAAGCCCCTGAAGACGTTTTTCTTGTCTATGAAAATACCTCCCGTAATCTGTTTAGAACACTTTCTTTTTTAACAGATTAAAACTAGCAACCGAAGGAAAAAATTGTGACATCAACTAAAAGTTACCTTAACATAAGAAGAACCAAAATACAAAATAAGCGCCCACTTTTCCACGCCAACGCATCTTAACCCGAGATCTGTCCCAGCACATACTGCTTTAAAACAATGAAAAAATTCCCCGCTACTTTTGACTATGCAAATGGAGGTTCGATTACTGGTATAACAACTTGATCACTTGCGTGTGAACAACATTAAGTAAAACATACTGGAAGATTGAGGTCAAAGAAGCTTTTGGAGGGAGTGCACGGATGACAGTGATGGTACGGAAATCTTCCATGATGGCGACTGTCGCAGAGTGGTGCGGACATAAATCTGGATATTAATTGTCAGAATCAAGAAAGGTTTGAAAATATGCTGCAAATACGATGGATACAATCACACGATACTGGCTAAGGTATGTAGGTCTGAAGTTAAATAAGTAAAAAGTTTGTAATTATAGTTATTTATTCTAGCAATTGAAGTTCTCAGTGACAAACAGTAATTTGCAGCATGCAAGTAACCGAACTATCTGTGTTTGAAAGGAAACCCACGATTCACTTCGTTGCCTTCGCCAATTCTTAAAAAGTTTATGTTCAATATGCAAATTTTATTCCGAGATTCGACGGGTAATTTTGTGTTTCAATTTTTTAAGCTATTTGGAGAGTTGGACATGTGATTTCAAATTCCCACTTACACCAAGCATCATCAATATAAGGGCCAAGCAACATCAACCTTTAAAACGTAATGTTCGCATATAGTTCCTCTACAACGTTACCCAAATATTTCCTACGGTGTTGTGTCAAAATAAAAAGTTCGTTCGTTAGTGATAATGTCTTTTATACTTAAGTTACGCTTGGTTCAGCAAAGATTTTATAAGAAGATGCTGACGAGTCTATAATAAGATGGAAAGGGCCGACACTATCAAATTGTTTGTTTTGTTTTCCTTTTTCTTCCAGAGATTTTTTCTTGGAATGTGAATATGTACAAAAGTTTTTCGTGGAAACTTCAAGCCAGCGATAGCCAGACTGCAACCTCTACAGAAATGTCAATGAATCAGACCGAAAATAAAATGTATGAACAAACTGATAGATTGCAGACTTTCCAATAGTCACGTGAGGGCAATGAGCAGACAAAGGTGACTCGCGAAAAGTGAATTCAATTCTCGTTTACCTCGTTTGCTTGCTCGCGTACTTACTGATACAATTAGAGGCTACTCTTAGTATAGTTAAGTGGCTTGAAAACCTGGATAACTTTATTACTAATGCTGAAAACGCGTTGTTTGTTTTTATTTGTGAAGCTTCACGCATAACTGTATAAATATCCAGCAACATCGGTTCTGCAAGACTCTAATGACAATAAAGTTCGTTTAACATTACGTTAGGATGATTTGCTTTGTTGAAAAATACCAAAACCTTCAATAACCCCGGAACAGAGTTGCCTTCCGATTCAGAGTCATCTTAAATTGTACGAATATACATTAACCTATATGAAGCGTGAAACAATAGCAACGTTAACTGTCTCGAAAACTTTTAGTATCACCTGTTGCTGTCCACTTAAAAGAAGTGTCCAACTTTCACCTTGTATAGACTCAAGCTACACGCAAACAAATTTCGGCTGGGATGATGACCGCTTTTGATAGAGTTTTATCGAGTAAATCAGTTTTGGTGAGAACTAGCTACCCACCGCCGTCCGCTTTAGTTTAAGATAAACTAGAGGCGGCAGAACATAAAGGGTGGAAGATTATAAAGTTAATTTTACAGTGGATGTCAAAATATTAAAGATACTACCATGGTCAACACGTTTTCCATTTTCCGTTTCACTGCTGCCCCTTCCTAGCTCAATTCTTTTTTCAGTACTGAAACAAAATTGGAAATCTTTAGAAACAGGGTACAAAACTAACTGCAGTAAAAAAAGGGACGCATATTCAAATAATTGCCCTCGGCCAGTCTTTCGGCCAACAAAATCTTACATTGTAGCTAAATTTTTCAACCTGTCGCCTCAACTTGGGCATTTAAAACTGAGCAGAATTTAAATTACTAACAACTTTGGATTCAGTTGTTTTTAAGACATTAAGCTAAAAAGCATCTACAATTCTCTTTCCGGTAGGATTACGCGCCCCACCAAGGAACCATCCAAGGCTAACGGAGGAAAATATTTAAGACAATGAACAAGGAATAGACTTCCTTAGTACGGTGCGGGCCAAGTCACCTTTTCTGAAGCTTTTAGATTAAGACTTGCGACATAAAATGCTACGAGCCTAAGCTGCCTGCAAACCGTTTGAAATTTCAGCCATTAGCAGACGCATGCGCTGAAGTTCGCATCCGCTGAGCCTCGCAGTGCACAATAGATGACGAAAAGCGAGGAGCGGAGCCGCATTGAGGACAAGTGAAAATACTCAACAAGCCAGTAAAAGTGGGATCTTAAACCAGGTATGTGAATATTCTGAGCAAGCGATCATTGTATATTACTTGTACTTTACACTGGTATAGTTACTGTCAAGAAACGTTAGTGCTTTCGAGGGGAGAACGAGGCTCGCTGACTCGATCAGTGCAAGTGACATCGTAACATTCAACCAAATAGCCAGGTTAGGTTTTTTTTTTATTCCCTCTTTTTCCAACTCGAAAATCTCAAGGAATGGGGTAGTTTCAGTGATTTTAAGCTTGCAATGGCACTGCTCACTTAATGGCCCGGGGAAAGTTAAAAGCAGAAATTATCAGTATTAACCACTTTCGATTACCTCACGCCTTCATTAAATTGCGGAACAGCTGTGCATAAGGGGTAAAGCTTTTTTAATTGCAAGTCATTTAGCTCTAAATACTCGCACTCGACGAGACAACCGCGCAGCATGTATTCATGTGTTTACACTAAAGACTCACAGGACTACGTTTCATTGCCTTATTCCCAAACAAGAAAAATGATAGAACCTTACATGTGATAGTAAAAGGAAAGCTGTCTACTACATTTTTTCACCTCATGTTTTAACTCAACTATTCTTCTTAAGAGCATTAAGTGACAATCATAGCAGGGTGCCTCATGACTTTTTTCGTTTAATTGAAAACACCAACTACACAGTATATGAACTCATTAGATGTTATTGTTACAACACTGCAGGAGCACTTTGCAATAAAAGGATTTTAAATCAAAGGTACAAAAGCCACATACGTTAAAGATATATTTACCTCTCCTAAATACATCTTCACATCCACCTTTTATCCCACACAATAGATCTGGCCAACTGTATCCACCGTAAAGACTAATGCATTTCTTTACTCCCACGATGTTAAAAATATATTTGTACACAATAGTGCCTCGGGATACAAAGCCTAGTAAACTTTACACCTCTTCCTGTTAAGGTTACTCGTAAATATTCAAAGTATGTAAACCTTTTTCTCACAACAGATTGCAGATCACAGGAACGACAGCGAGGAGAGACGGCTGTGTTCGTGGACTAGAATCTAGGCTTTTTGAAAAGGTATGGACGACCTAATAACCTAATGCTATCTTTACACGTGTTTTCTCGCCATAGAGCAACGAGTTCGATTCAAGGCCGCCATCTTGATTTTATCGGGTGAGTTAAACCTGGGACGTAGGTGTAGGTATCCATGGAAGTTCCCAAGTGAATCAATATTGTTCACATTTACAGGTTATTAAATCCAATTTAAAAACTATTGACATAATCCGTTTTTTCCCTTTCAGTTGATTAATTCCAATGGCTGAAAAAAGGGTAAGAGTTTTTGAAGTAAAGTTTCATTTTTACGATGGATAGTGAGCAAAATTTCAAAGTGTCAGCTAGTTCATCAATACTTTTAAGCCACACTACAAATCCTAAAGGATTTACTACTGCGAAGATCAACAACCTATAATCTTCGTGGTAAAGATATTATAACATTACCTTAGAGGTCAACTCTACAAAGCGGAAGCATTAAAACACGAGACTTAACTAAGTAGCTTTGAAAGACGCTTGAAAAGAATTGACGTCAAACAGTTATATTGATCTGCAAATAGTTTTATTATAATTATTATTGAACTGTACATAGTTTTATTTTATTTTATTACTCACATATTCACAGATTTTTATATCGTAGATATATATTTTATATTGTATCTTTCTCTATTTTAATTTGTGGCAATAACTGCAAAATAACGATACTTGCAATGAGCTCAGTGTATCTGACCACAAAAAAGTTACTTATTATTACAAGAAATAAAAGCTTGGTGACATCACCTCATCACAGACAAAAAAAAACGTTACTAGCAGACAGAGAGCTTATGTAAACCCTGACTGTTATAAAGGTTTTACTGCTTCGCTTTTAGTGCAAGCTGTACTAATTAGCCTTTAAAGGAGCACTCAAGCGGGGTAATATCTCGACTTGAAATAATAATTTAAGTGCTGCCTTTCCCCTGTCTCTTGAGGGAGATCTTAGAACGACATTATTGCAAGGTGTCTAACATGCATAATCACGTGTTGCTTTTTAACCTGTTTAGTTGCAGCTTTTACCTCGTGATATAATTAATAATATAATAATTTTTCATATTTGTTGTCATTTTTTTAATATTTGCCCCTGTCCGGTCCTTGTCTATTTCTCTTACAAGTGCGTTATAGGCGAGGCAAGTAAAATTAAAACGAAAAGAAGACATCAAAACGATCAGTGCAGGATTAACATGATGTTTTTGAGTGGGTACATGACTCTGTCAAGATGCATAAATTTGTATCTGGGTAAAAACGTTTGCAAAAGAGGTTTTTCGCTTTTTTTCAGGACAACGAAGAAGGACAAGACAAGGAAGAAAAAGCTCCCAAGTAAGAAGTGAAAAATCTACCGTATAAAACCACTAATATCATTAATAGACACTAAGTATCAAAGTAGGCTCCTGTTGGCTTTATTTAGGAACTCTTCAAGGCCTCTTATATTTCGGTGACACCTTGGATATGAATCAAGCTCCACCTGTGTCGAAAACATGACCTTATCCTCTGTTACTACAGTTGTAATTACAGTAAAAACAAATGAACACCGGTATTAATAGCTCTTTCTTTTTGCAAACAAAAACTGAAAAAAGGTAACTGAGCCGCATACCTCTTGTAAAAGTATCAATTTAAAACTCTAAAGACAAGATTAGTGACTCAACAGAAATGAAGAGATGATAAAGTTGTTAAGAGAGCTAAGACATTTTTTTAAAAATTGCTGACGACAACCAGACCAACGGAGATGACATTGAGAAACCTCGACCGGTGTAGCAATAAAATCCAAAACAATCGCCGAATGACCGAAAACAACTGAAAAGAACTGTCAGTATCTTTCAGTGTTCTGGGATCACCGAAAGATGCAGCATTTTTTAACACCCGTTTTACCAATTTTACCAGTTTGGAATTTGCACTAAGTTTAGATATGGCACACTCCATTTAAAGTTTGAGATAGCCTAGACGGATTGAAACGCACCCATCACTGATTACGAGTCTTCAGAGCCAATAACATCACGGCTTAACTGACAGACGACCAATAACGTCGCGACATAATTGACCAAGCAGATCAATAACCAGAGTATAATACCATCAACTGACGTGATACAACTCACTTTGACTCTGAAGATGACTACCGCACAGGTTGTCGAAACGTCAGTCACTGTCAACACCAACAGTCCTATTCAGGACTACGTTCACCCGGACGATCAAACTCAACCTTTTGAATAGACTATAATCTTAAGTATGCAATGACCGACGCCCAAAAATGTTACGATATTGAGAAAGCTCACCGCTGTTACTACATCTAGAGAGAAGCCTCTAAGTCGTAATCCCACAAATTTCTCATTACGAGAGCAGTTCTCCCGTATACAAGTTTGGTGATGTCAGGAGGTCTCCTCGCCATCTTTTACCGTTTAGGATGCTGTTCTAAACATTTCTCAGCCCAATTTACGCAACCGTGTCTCAAAAGTTTCGCAAATATACTTAACTCCATCCCGATTTCATTTCTTCTTTAGTGGCAAAATAAGTAGCTACGCAAGGAAAATAAATGGATGAATTAATGAAAAGCTATTGAGACAACGACCTGATATAGAAAATTAGAAAATGCAAACTTACTTTACCTTAATATGCTGTTGATAGTGAGAATGATGTGAGTGAAACTGCTCAGGACCTTCATGCTGTTTCTGATCCTGGACACCTTGAAACATCTTCCCCTGAGGTAAACGTTATAGTTGTCTTTCTTGAAATATGCATGACACCTGACATGGCATTCTGGTTAATCTTGATATCTGACGAAAAGCAATGTTGAATGGAAGTGACCCTTTGCACATCATACTTTCAACGAGACTTTGTATTAATAGTGAACACCTAGCTGCGAGAAAAATTTATACACACAACGAGCTTAAACTAAACGATAATGTTCATGTGACATGCCAACACCTGGTCTGTAATTTATACGTTTTTATAGGTGTATTTGAATTTTGGTTACAAACACTGCATTTACAGTAAGAGGGGCATTTATATCACTTGCTCCCCCAAGAGAATGAGTCCATTCAAATAATTATAAGGACCAAGTCGAGAAAGTGCCGGTTATCTCTTAGTCCATCTCTTGAACCTAGTATATAACTTTCCCACCAACACGAGTTTGCTTGACCTAGCCATGCGCACCCTTAGCGCTCCTGAGCCAAACATCACGAGGTGCAAATCTCGGAACAACCCGCGTATCAGAAACCAGATTTTAAGGCCCTGTTAAGCTAAGATTGTCCATTTAGATCCCTTTCACATAAGAACCTGTTTTAGCCTACAATATTTGAAAGACGTTCTTATTTTGTGAAATTCAGTCAAACACTGAAAACACAAATTTACCAGAAAAAGCTCTACTAGTCAGTCAAATGAAGATAAACCCCTGGCAATGAGACAATATTGACATGTAGATCTGTATATCCTTGTACTTGTGTTCTGTTTAACTTGCATAGCTTTGTATAAACTTCATAAATGGCTTTAACATACCTGGATTTTTATAACATATTAGGCATGCAATACCAAAAATAGGCCGAAAATAGGTCACACCCACCAATAAGAAACACCCTATTTATTTAAGAACCTGGGTAGCCTAACTTTCCAGTTAGCACTATTTTGATGAGAACCTTCTTAGCCTAGCTTGGAGATACTTAGGATCTTATACGCGCGTTTTTACTGTAGAAAACATTCTGTATAGAGTGGGTTTTTTCCTTATAGCAGCAATACACGGATGGAGGGCGTTTGGTGCAACAATGTACTGACACCGGGGGTGGACACAATCCTGTTTGGTAAGCAAGTCCGAAATGCAAACAAAGGAAGATTGTTCCCAAACCATAGTCGTGTCTTTATGCGAGTATATTATTAGGAGTTAAAAGGCTCATTATTAAAATAATACGACTATTGCCTGTTATTTTGCCAGCCACAAATCAATAATGACTCATAGCGCCGCTCAAATGTAATATCAAAAACTATTTTTTGTCACAACCATTATGTATCAATTCTCTTTTTGCTGTAACGAAATCCTCGAAAAGGGATATTTTGGTAACTCTGCTGACCATCATGTCTAGCGACTGCTTTGTAAGAAATTGATCGTTTTGAAAGAAAGAGATACGGGTCGGGGATATTCGACCAAACATGAGATGCCAACAGACATTTTACGTGTCTCTCAGTAGGAAAAATTCAGAATCTTTTCATTCGAACGGTTAATCATCCTTAGAGCTGATGACTCCTTTTTGTCAATTTACCTTCTAAAACATTTTGTAGGTCATAACAGTGTGATTTAATGCAAGATGCAGAAAGTTGTATCCAATCCAGTGGATTTAATTGATTTCCAAATACTAACCACTTTTGAATTTTTTTTCTTTTAGCGGTACAGCATGTCTACAAGTCCCTCCTCAGCTAGGGGTAAGAGAAAAAAGGCTAGGCAATTAACCTTTTTTTAATCAGAGCCCGGCTACTACCTATTATATTATTGATAACCTGATTTTGCTGACTTGGTTTGGCCTAGCAAACACACGATTGTGTGTGATGTATGGTGGAACTTCGAAAAAATTATAGAGAGACAGTAATGGTTAAAACAAATTGTACTTTACAGACTTTATCCAGTATATATATATATACTAATAAAAAGATTTTGGCAAGGCTGAAGTGGACCAAAATGTGAATGAAGTGAATTGGTAACATAAACAGCTCAAGCTGATTTAGTTTTCACTTTTATCTCCCACAGGAAAATCAGGACTATGATCCTACTCTGTTAATCATTTTAATCATTCTCTTGTTTTACTCTTAAAAGTTCTGTCTGTTCGACTTTGTCCGTTTTCATCGATGTGTTGTTCAATACTGTAAAGTAAATTATGTAAAGGCAACTTTCACTTTCTCGTCATGTAGTGACGACACGGTAATGTAACAAAAAGTGTAAGGAACGGGCAATGTTGTTGTGTTGTTTATTGAACCTATTATTTTTTTGAACGTTCAGCTATTTTTGCAGGGTCTAAAGCTCCACGTCCGCTTCGTGTTCGCCTGAAAAACGCGAAAAAAGGCGTCTGTCCTGCAAGCTAAGAACACTTATACATAAACAAAAAATGGAATGTTCAAATTAAAATCAAATACCAACTGAAACGTGGTAAAACACAATTTCGCGAAAACGAAAAATAACGAGCAAGCCATGTTCTTAGTCCAGAGAGGAAAAATTACAAATGGTTTTCTTAGAATGCGCTTCCAATGACAAACCCTTTCTGCTTCCTCAACTAATCCTCCAATGAGGTAACTCTTAGGAGGTTTCTCTGATGTTTTGTCTTCAGATTTAACTCAACTCAGGTTCCCAAATGCTTACTTAAGTCATAGTTAGTAGAGGACACTGAGTATGAAAAGCGGCAAACATCAAAGATAGGAACAACGGTGTTTCAGATTATGTTGGAGGCTCTCTGACTATGCACAATCTTTTGTTTTCTGTTCACAAAGTCTAACTGACTAAATTAATGCGACGTTTTAATAAACCGTCCAACACTTCTTACTACATGTAATATTCTTGTCTCAGACAGACACTGTGACAGGAAAGTCTGTCGCTACAAAAGTAAGTTTTTACTTCCGTGGACCGTCGATATAACAAAGGGCTACTGAACGGACTGGTTAATTATGTTCGCCGAGGTTTCGTTATACCGAAGCTCTTTTACATATATTTTACTAGAACTGGGGCAAGGGTTATCCTTCGTTCTGCCAAGCACTGCGTTATATAAGGGTTCGTCAGTTCGAGGGTCCTCGGTAATAAAGTAAAGTAACTAAGAAGTTGTATTTAAAAACATACCCAATACGATACTAGGCCATGCTTATGCAAACAGCAACTCGCTAGCATCCACAGGTGGAACATCGCACAAAGTTTACAATTATTGAAAGTTGGTTTCACCGTCGAAAAAAAGAAGACTGAATGCGTCTCTTAAGTCTCAAAATGTCGACCGACTGAATTTCTTTTTTCGCCGTTTCTTTCTCACTTGTACAACGTTAAAAAAATAGACTTTAAACCGAAAGGTGTCGATGAAACTTCAAGAATTTCAGGTTGTTTTTCCCGGAACTGTTTTCAAGAAAATTACTTCTCTCTCGGAAATAGTTATGAATGGAGTCTCCATGACAACTTAAAGTTAAGGCAACTACGAAAACGAAACATCACCACAAGATATATAACCTAGGAAGAAAAGCAAAGGTTTGTGGCAACAACACCACGATTTTCAACTGATGACTAAAATGTGGTGCTGGGCAACTGGAAAACTGACTACGACGCATAATTCTGTCCCCGTTGAGATCTTTCTTTTCTTAAGGACCAGCTTTTTACCGGCATGATGAATGAGATAAGCTTATCGCGCAGGTGTGTCATTTTTTCTCTCGCACGAAGTTTAAACCTTGTATTTTGAGCTATGTATCAGCCAATCCCATGAGTCGCGAGCTAGAGAGCTATCCATGAGTGACAGATTCCTTCAAATCTTCTTAGCAGCGCTTGCGCCAAGTTCCCTGAAAACTGAACACCATTCTTCCAAAGTAAAGATCAGTTCCGAGGGAACACAGGTCCCGACTCAGGACGCATCACCGAGTCACCAGAGACAGGGTTAAAAGCTTCGAGCAGAGCTTTTCGCACTGCTATCTCTAAGCGAGGCCGAGCGGTTAGAGCGCTGGATTGTAATCTGGAAGCCCCGAGCTCAAGTCCTCTCCTGACCGCTCGCTGGATTTGTTCTCGGTATTCCCGAGTTCAAGTCCTTGGCCACGATTGTAAAGCAGATTGTAAAGCCGACTGGTTCACCTCCTAATGGTTGGGGTTTTACTAAATAGACCATGGGACTATTTAGTAAAACTTTACAAGTGCAGCCATTGTTTTTATTCTGAAAACAATAGCTACACTTGTAAATTACACTTGTAAGAATCTTATTAAATTAAAATCGCGTTTTCAACCTTTCCCCAACAGGCTATATTTTTTCATTTGGGGGCAGGGGGAAGGAGGGTAGTATTATATAGACTTTACTTTTCTTTTTGTCTGTCTTTTAGTCTTAGATTGGTCGCTCTGTTTGACTCACAGCCGTCACGTTTCACTTGAAAAAAAGCAGGAGTGGATGTTACGTCGGTGGAAATACCCTAAAAATTATCTCGATATTTTTTTGGGTGCGTTAGGTATTAACAAAAACATGACCTGTTTCTTCTGCGCACCAACCAACCCATGGGCTGGGCTTTGTTTTCGGCATTGTTATTTGTGGTTAAACGGAGTGGGAATTAATAAAAAATGATTTTATTCTTCGGAGTCTACTAAAACATTAGTAGCTGTGCTAGCACTAACGCACAGTGAATGTCAGATGTGCTTTTCTCGCTTTTGGTCACATGCAATACCAAGTATGCCTGCAAAACAAACAGCCCATTCATTCAGCTGATTCATTGTTGGGAGGGAGATATCAGATTGCTTCCCACCTCATCGGCACCAGCGGCTAACTGAAAAGAAGACTGAGACAATGAAAGCTACTCCTGAAATCTACGGCAAGTAACAAAGCCGTAAAAGCTACTTTGAACCCATCAGCCTATGAAGGCAGTTCAGTTGAAAATTTCTTTGGCGCGTTTCTACTTCATTGAAAGCAGGACAATTCGGTCGCGTACAGTGGGATAGCTTAAAAAACAAGAATCGGTGAAATACACATATTCAAAATACCCCACTGAATAGCCATGCAAGGCAGAGAAGAGGCAGACGTGACTGAAATATAAGCCTAAGTTCTATGATATTTTTTTAGGCAAGACCTGTCTACCTTCACAGGGAGGGAAAAGGTTCTTTGCTTTTAAGAAAAAAGTGTTACCCTCGACCCTCGACATAAAGATAGACTACAGGAAACAGGTCATGTTTTTGTTATTACGTAACATCCACTTCTGCTATTTTCTTGTACTTTCAAGTGAAACGTGACGGCCGTGAGTCAGACAGAGCCACCAATCTAAGCCCCCCACCCAGACTTAAAATGACAGACATAAAACAAAACCAACAAACAACAAATAGCAAAGTCTATATAATACAACCCCCCCCCCCCCCCCCGCCCCAAATGAAAAAATATAGCCCGTTGTGGAAAGATTGAAAATGCGATTTTTTTTACAGCCTAGAAAAAATAATATACCCCCTCCCCCTTCAAAAAACAGTTCAGTCACGTCCAGAGTCTAGTCCAGTCCAGTCCAGTCCAGATTTTCCAACTGTCCAAATTAGGTAGCTGACAAACCACGTAATAAAAATTGCGTGATTGCGTGACGACACAAGTCTAGGTATAAACAGGGGTTTATATATATCGCTGCGTCTCTCACCCTTATAGTTACTCAAAAAATCCTTGATGGCATTGTTTCGTGATCTGTTGCGAGACCAACGAACAGGCCCCCGGGGAAAAGACGTAAAGTGGGTTATCTTCACAATATATTCTTAGTCCTTTTCACTATTGAATAAATCTGAGTTAACTGAATAAATCCCCCACTAGTCCCGTTAAATCCCCTATTATTTAGGACAGTAAAGAGATCTTAGGTTATAAGCGCGTTCAGTTGAGCAAAACTATTTGTCTAGAATCCTTAAGTGAACGTAACAAGTCCTTGTTAGTTAAAGTAATAAACAAACACAAGGGAGGAAGAAATTAGGGGGATATTGTCTAAGGCGCTTAAATAATCTTAAAAGAAATTGGGGGGATATTGCCTGAGGCGCTTAAATACATCTTAATGCGTGGCGTGCTACAAGCCGACCGAAAACCGATGTCAATCAGACTTGTCAACAGTCAGTGTTCTCGCCAATAAGAACTTGCATCAGGATCTGATGCACAACGGGTGCCGTGGAACGGCGGTCCCAAATGTTTGTCTACAGGCCTTTTCGCTTTCCCTCTCTCTAGTTCCCCGCTTGACCGAAGGCCTGTTCACAGGCTAAACTGAACAAATTTCGTTACACACCTGTTTCAGAATTAATGTACAGAAAACCACTCGCCAAGAATCTCAAGGCAACATATTTTTCCAAATGTCGTCAGAGGTTATAGACAAGGCCAGGAAAGGGAAGGATTTAGAGCTTCTGTTGACAGGCGATTGACGTGCCTATTGTTTGACAGCCAATTAGTGATATCTGCGGTCAAGCTTCTGGCGAGTGTACTTGACAGCTTGTAGTCGACACTCTCTCGTTCTCACCTCGACAGACCTCAACGCCAGCCCGAGAAATCTCGGATAACAGCACTAAAAGGAGAAACAAAAACAAAAAACCAAGGTAAGACAGCATACGATAGCTAAGAGATGCAGCAAACCTGTTTATGAATCTTAATAGAAACCTCTTCAGATAAGTGGATTATGTAGAAACTTATTTTCGCTTCCACGAGAGGACTTTTGACGGCGGTCGAACGAAAGAACTCCAAAGTGAAGGTTGTTCATTTCACGGTTTAAAGACCTAAGACACAAAGCAAATAGGGTCAATTTTGGAAGTTTACTAGAAAGGTTCTCAGCGTGTGAAAAGTGAAATTGCAGGCGCCGTTTGACAAATAACTTAGCGTCGGAGGAAAAAACTTTTAAAAGAAAGAAGCCCATTATTTCGAGAAAAATGAAATAATAACGACTTTCAAAGCCATTTCACACATTCTAAGGCATATTTCTAACTTAAAATTACGTGAAATTACACTATAAAATGGAACGAAAAGCACACGAAACGCTTGAGCGCGGCGAAATTTAGGGTTGACGAACCACGTGTGAGAAATATAATTAAAAGTACCTCCCTTCCCGCAGATTAAATAAGAACTTATTTAGATGTATTTAGCAAGCCAAGGA